GGCCGGTTTCAAGCTTAGGGTGTGGCGCTTGAAGCTCAAGGCGTTACCGAGACCCCTCGAAAGGTAAGCCAAACAGCGGCATAGACTTGAACCCAAAACCTGTGTGGGTCTCGGGCTTATCAATTCTGGAGATGCCTCAACCCTGCGAAACCTGCTTATCCTTCAGCATATAGACCAACTGTACAGGCAGAATCTATACATTCAAACCCAGGTTCTGCAGGGAGCCAGCGGAATCTAAATCCTAAGCGCTTGAGTCTCCCAGCTGAGGTTGGGACTCCTGGCCTAGGCTTATACATAGGTGATAGAATGATGATTATGGTATATACTCCGGTCCGAACAGCAAGAAGACCTAAGGAAAAGCAGTATTGAGCTTGGCAAGTCTGGCTCGTGTGTAGATTTGAAGCGGTGCAGGTTGTGTAATGTGAGATCAGGCATTGCTGCATGAGCTTCTGGCTTAAAACCAACATCCAGCCTCATGCTTGGGTCATCAAGAACAGACATCATTTGGGCTTTCAGGGTCGCACAGGAATGAGGCATATGGGAGTTTCCGAAAATAGGGGACCTTAATCTGGTACCCTAAATGGTCGGATCCTTATTATAAGGCCCCAACTTAAGGTACCCCTAATTTTCGGAAACTCCCATATTATTGATGATCTAGGAGTCTAGGGCTCTAGGACCCAGATTCTGGCGGATGTAGGGCCATGTAGGATGTTGGGCAGGCATTGCCTCATGAAGGCACTAGCCAGCGTGAGCCATGCACGACATCTCCCCAAGCTCTGCGAGGAGAAGCTGGCACAGCGAGGAAGCCAAAGTCTCACAACCACCATGACGAAGAGCCAGGAAGACCACGCAAACACTAAACCCTAAACCCTAAACCCTAATCCTCTGTGAAGAAGCACGGTCCCATGACAAGCAAAGGGCAGGAAACCTACCGCTTGAGATCCTCATATATGAATACTCAAAGGATCATGGGACCCAGTAACTAAGGTTATTATTAGGGTAACTATACTTATAGCTGCTTATCACCCCAATTAGGGTACTTATAACCATACTGACTAAGACCCATGACTCTCCAAGTAGTTCTCTTTTCGAGTTTTTTTTCAGGAGTGTGCTGTCCTATTTGGGCCCGCCGAAACCGGACCCAAACTTAGAGAGTTGCCCGTATGTCTATGTGGTCAGTTGGGCTCCCTACGTTGCGGATCGCATTTTTCGCTTTAAGCCATTTTGGACAGTAAAGAGTTTTCAGGATCCATGTACTCAGGAATTTCTGAACGGCCAACGCAGATACTATGTTAATATCTACACATGTATCTATATAGCTGCTTACTTATCTGTCTGTCTCTGTATCTTTGTACCCATGCATCTATAATTAACTATCGAACTATCGAGCTGTACATACATACATACCTACCTAGAGACCTAAATACCTGCCTACCTACCTACATACACAGACAAGTATGTATGCATGGACCCTTGCGGGAGTGCAAGGGCCACCAAGCCCTAATCCCTACACCTGGAACCCGAACCCGAAACCTTAAACTTAAACCCACAAAGTAAGCAAGAACTCCTCCGACAAGCATGTCGGAGATGCTCGCGTGCGTGCTCGAACGCCTGGAACAGACCATGCCTGAGACGAAGCGAGTCACAAAGGGCCGATAAAGTCTCAGGATTTCCGGGGTTAATTGACATGAAGTGAGGACTTGAAGCTTAAGCGCTTGGGCAAGAGTCTACTGCTTGAAGCGCTTGAGCGCTTTTTAAGGCTGATAAGATGTAGCTGTATCACGGTTTCGGGTTGCTTCGCTTCGACCGGGGGTCTTTTGCTGAAGGAGCTGCGATACTCAGGAAAGGCTCGGCTCGTGTTTACGATGGGTCTATAATTATATATATATATATACACAGAGATATATACACACACAGATATATATATATATATATATATATATATATATATATATATATATATAATGGGGCTTAGGGGTAGCAGCAGGCTTTTGTGTGCAGAGCGCACCATGGGAGCACATGGTAGAGAGACGGTGAGGCAAACCCAAAAGTTCCCGGTTGTGGGCAGGAGAGGTTGGAGCAATTGCATGGGAACGGTCGGTCCCCGTAGTCAAGGTGAGCAGGTGTGATGTAGGGGCCTGATATGAATTAGAATAGGGTTTGGGGCTATGTTACAACATAGTTATAGTTAGGCACCTGTTGGGACTGCCAACCTGGACCTCAGACGCCTGAATGGAGCGTGAGAAGACATCATGAATCGTAATGTAGACCCTTCTGAAGCCCAAGCAATCCAGAGAAAGCGCTGGAGTTTAGCTAATCAGGGGTCTGCATGCTCCAGAAGTACTAGGACCTTCGAGAAAAGAGAGCAGCCTAAATTGTCGAGCCCAAGTGGTTTGGAGTTTAGGGTTGCGATGCATTTAATCATGCAGCCTAATTTGTTTAGCCCTAAACCCTTCGCGTTAAAAGTCCGCAGGACGTAAAGACCCGAATATGCTTCTGGAACCCTTGAGCCTCAGAGACCAAAGACATCGAACGGTTTAGGGTTTGGTCTAGGGCTTAGGGTTTAGGGTTTAGGGTTTAGGGCTAGGGTTTAGGGCACTTTACGGAGATTTGGCGACGGAAGACACCCTGCCTGGTACCAGTCTGTTTTCGGACTTTACCCCTGACCCAACTGTCAATCGGGAGCTGGAACCACGGATGACTTGTTCGCTGCTGTAAACCCCACATACGTGTCGTTGAGCCCTCAAACCTTATGACTCAAAGCGCGCTCGATCGTATAGCTCAAAACGCAAGCCTGAGATAGATGTCTCAGACCTGCCATGGGCAGCAAAGTTTACGAATCCTGCCTCGTAGTTCAAGCCCCAAAATCGACCCCGTGACCCTGCCTCACCCTAGGCATCTAAGGACTCATATATTAAGGCTTTTGGGCCCAAAGACCATACTATATAAGGCTTTTGGGCTATTTTGATGCCCAGGGTTAAACTGCCATAGCGTCTTCTCCAGGGTTTTGATACAAGCTCAGCCTGTGATATTTTGGTGTTTGTCAGGACACTACAAGACAGGAGGTTCTGGTTCAAGCTAGACGTATATAGGGGCTGAAACCCTCTCCCAAACAAGCTTAATTTCTGATTTAAACCCCAAAAGCCCAAAAGCAAAAGGCTGCCAAATTACTCAGCTAATTACGAAGCCCTAAAACGCTAAACCCCTAACCCTAAACCCTAAACCTTTAAACCTGAGACCCCTAACCACTCAAAAATCACATGTCCTCTGAGGTCCCAGCAATCGCTGCAGTGCCGCGAGGGGCCAGGGAGCCCACGTCGAGCTCCACGCCACCCGAAGCTGCCGGAGGCTTAATTTGGATATACAACCCTAAGACTCCATGTGCCCATAAAGTTGGTACTTAGCCCTTAAGGGGGTCCCTATATGGGTACTTTAAGGCCTAAGTACCTACTATGTGGGTATATGGAGCCTTTGGGCAACAGGATCTAGGTTCCTGAGTAGTACCCTTGTGCCCTTTGTTGCCTTGGGGTTCCCTGAATTAAAGCTGCAAAGTAGGGCAGGTATACCTTTACTATAAAGGGGCTAATGTAGGAACCTGATTAAGAAACCCCGGGCCTATAGCCCCAAAATAGTAGGATTCATAAACGGAACCCTAATAAAGGCCCAAGGTTTCTTAATCAGGTTCCTACATTTTAAGGGTCCATGGACCCAAATAGGGGTCCTTTAAGGGTTCCTTTAGAGGGTTATTAGTACAAGGGCTCTATCAGGGTTTATAGAGTTTGAGGGTCCATGTACCGAAATAGTTTGTGCTTTGGCCCCAAAGTACCTAAATAGGGACTACTTTCAGGCCAAAGTCCAAAGTATATACTATTTGGGTACATGGACCCTTAGGGACAGTTTTGGGGGCTCAGGCTATATAGGGGCTATAGGAGTTGAGGCTTTGAGGGGGTTGAGGGGTTGAGAGCTTCCGGTTTACGGAGAGGGGTTCTTTTCATCAGGATTTATCAGGCTCCAAGACTTGTCGCACACCTGCGTTCCCAGTTAAGTTGGTCAACCTGGGCGACTTGGCAGATGAGCAAAAGTCGTGACAATGACGGCTCCCACTGGATCCTTGCACATCCTTTCAAATGAGCTCGTATATCTGCTTTGTCCGGATGAAAAAAGTGCTCAGGGTTTTCGCGAAACCTATGATAAGGGATTTCGCTGGAAAGCAGATGATGAACCAATAGCAACATGTACGGTAATCCAGGAACCTGTTTAAGAAACCTTAGGTCTCTAGTATACCTGGACCTAGAGCCCCATTACACCCATAACAAATCCGACACCCTCAGAGCCCCTGATCCGAAACTCCACGTCACAAAACGTGTATGAGAAACTCCAAAGCATCTACTCGTTTGGAAGCTGCACAAAGACTGTCGGTCGTATTGGGAAATGCCTATGAAAGAAATTGCAATGCACTCAGTAACGCCTCTCGGAAGCGCCCTTCCGAATCTGCTTCATAATGATCTTTGCATGCATCTCCAAATCTGTTGCCTAGCGAATGCCACCGGAGATACCGGCGGGTGCGAGGGCTTCTGGTTCTTGGAGCGAGGGCCGCCACCTCGTGTTGGTGTCCTTCCAGGACCAGACATGGCTTGACTGGCGCCAACCATTCTGCATCTTCGATGTCCATTTTGCCCAGACAGAAGTGGTGCCCCGTTGCCGTATCCAGGGATGTGAATGTTCAATCCGGTACCTTGCATGTCACCGGATGGTGCTTCCTCAGCCGAGAACGCTAGGTATCCGCACCTCTCCTCACGCGAGAACACCCTAACTCTGACTCTGGTTACATCTTGAACCTGAAAGCACTTTTAGGCTTCTGCAATTGGCCTTGAGCCAAAACGTCGGTAACATGCAAACTGTACAGGAACTAACTACCCTATAGCCCTCACTTCCAGTCACGCCTCCCGAGTGAGATGCTGGCACAGCTCTCACGAGTGGTGAGGCATAGGTTGTTAGCTTCACGTCTTCAGGGCCAAAGGATGTCGTCCCGCTCTGCTGTTGTAGCCCATTCCTTGCAGGAACTTCTGGATGAGTTTCGCATCCAGAGGCTTTGTCATCAGGTCAGCCAGCATTTCTCCCGTAGGGACCTTCTTCAGCTTAACTCGGCCAGAGTCGATCACCTCTTGAACCCACAGGAAGCAGGTGTGGATGTGCTTCACACGTCCAAGACCTCTCCGGCTTCCAATGGATATGCCCGTGGTGGCGTCCATGTTGATGACCACAGGGCAGTTGATGCCCCAATCAGCCAACATTGCTTGTTCACCCAAGCATGCGCTGGTGGTGGATATCAGGCCGTAGTATTCAGCTTCCCCACTGGATAGTGCTATGACTGCCTGCCCTTTCGCAGTGGCTTTGATGACTGCCTTCCCTAGTTGCACGACTGTCCCGGTTGTGGATTTTCTCGTGCGAACGCATCCTGCATGATCTGTATCACTCCATCCTTGAATGACACTGAACCCTTCTTGGTGAGGGATAAGCTGCACGAGGCGAGGCGCTCCTCTCAAGTATCTCCCTGCGCGCTTGAGCAGGTTCCAGTGATATTGAGTGGGCTCCTTAAGGCCTTTAGCAAGTTCCCTCACAGTCCGAAGCATATCGGGTCTGTCGCTTGACAGATACCCAATCCTCATTGCTATGGACCGGTAGAGTCCAGCATCTTCCTTGGAGAGTGGACTTTCATCCTCATCCCCTGTGCTCTTAACAAGTGGTGTGGTAACAGGGCTGGAGTTATTCAAACCCAGGTGTTCCAACACCAGGTCCACGTGCCGAGGATCGGCTTCCATCTCAATCCCTTCGTTGGTCCACGTGACCAATCTGTTCAGCACAGAGATGCTATGAGTAACTCCTGGCAGGCTCGAGCCGGGCCGTGCCAAGATTCCTCTCACCTCAATTGTCCACGCTTTCTGAAGTGACTCAATCAACCATTGAAGCTTGTTGTAGCCCCCGACGACTGTGAAGTCGTCTCCATGCACATTGCAACGTAAGCTATGCTCGGGGTGAAAGTAAAGACATGGGTTGGACACCCCTTGCTTAAAACCCAAGTCGGTCATTACTTTCTTGATGGCATGTTCCCAGTTGCTCGGTGCATCACGGGTTCCGTAGAGACTCCTTTTGAGAAGGCCGACCTTGTCAGGTCCTTCCCCAGCTTCTGGTGGTAGTTCCACGAGGAGTCGCCTCCTGACTGGACTCCAGAAGTGAGCTTTCTTCACATCAATGAACAGCACACATACTTCACCATGCTCGTTCATGTGGAAGGCTTTCTTGTTTGGGCCGGGTACGCGCCCAGTTGTAGCCAACGTGAATAGAGCCCTCAATGAGGACAATGGCGGCATCGCCGCAAAGAACTCGGTCCAGCTCGGATCTTCGTTGACTCCTTTCTTCCTCTTCAGTTCTTGTGCTACCAGCCTTGAGCGCAGTTTCTTTCGAAGATCATCCCCCTTATTGATGTCAATCCATCTGGTGCCGATGACCCGTTCGCCAGGGGGTCTTGGAATCGGCTCCCAAACCTGCATGTCTTTGATAACTTGGATCTCCTCCATGCGAGCTTGCTTGACACCTTCGGCGGGAAGCTCTTTACCAGTATTCTCGTCGTAGAACTTTTCCTCCCACAAGTCGTCCTCTAAGTCGCACGTGGGTTGTTCCTCGTTTTCGATACTGGCAATGAAACCTTCGCGCTCTTGAAGAATGAGCTCTTCGATCATGCCTTCGGCATTCTCAGGTGATTTTCGCTTCTGACCTTCGGACCTTGCGTCAGGAGGTGCCAGCTCGGCACGACCTTCGTCCCCCCCGCCTTCACTCTTTCTCTTCTGGCCCCCACTGGGCGCAGCTGAAGCAGCCGCACCACCAGGTGGCAGAGAGCTAGGTTCGCTCGGAACCTCTGGCCTCAAAGGCGGTTGGCGAGCAATGGTCAGAGGTCTGGAAGGTTGGGCCGCTGGAGGGTCTGTGGAAGAGGACGCCTCCTGCTCAGTACTCACCTTCCTCTTCTTCTCTTCTGCCTTGTTCACCTTATCGAAGAATTCACTCTCACGCTGCTCTTCGCGTTCCAGTCGGGCCTTTCCGCTTTCTGACTCCTTTAGGGCTTCCATGATCCTTGAGCGGCAGTGCTCGGTGTGGTTGATGCCCGTTCTCCTTCGACCCTCACGGATTGCTGAGCATGCCTCGCAACCAGCCGTATACCCAAACTTGTCTAGGTCAGACTGGCGGATGTAGGTACGTCTGAAGGGTGCTACCTCGGGCTTAACCAGTTCGCGAGCAGGTGGAGGCAGTCCCTCCTCAACTTGAGCTCGAACGGTCAGTGGCTCGGGTAGTCGAGCACCATCTCCAGTCTCGTCCGGTGAGGTCTTCCAGGGCAATCCACGAACTGCCTTGACCAAGTCGGAATCCCATTGTTGGCCCTCGGGTTTCCGCTTGATGCTCTGGACCACAAAGATCCCTTGGTGGGTCCCCACGATCTTCTCCGTGCTTTGCAGACGTAGGCCCAGATAAACTCCAGATTGCCATCGCGAATCCAGCTTTGAGCGCGTATTGCGGCGGTAGTCCACAGCTTCACCGAAGCATGGCAAAGCCACTTGCCACTTGCGCCCTTTTATTCGCTGAAAAGGCGTCAACCCTTCATGGAGCTCTTGACTGAACAGGGTGTGCAGCACACCGGCATATTCAATCATCCAGGCAAACACGGCTGAGGTGGGTTCAAGGGTAATGCCCTTCTCAGTCAAACTGGCCTTCAGGGTCCGCACTAAACCCTGCACTGTCTGAACGGACCTTTCAGCTTCCCCATTGCTCTGTCCGTGGTGGTCCCCTTTTGGTGACTCTTCCGGAACAATCTCCCCACTGAAGCCATTGCGGACAGCTAGAGATAGAGCTTTGATAGAAGCTTCCTGGTCGTTCTTCAGAACCAGTTTCTTGTACCCTAGGAACTCAAGGTCCTTCAAGATAGCCCGCGCAGGGTGCGTAGACCCAGTCGTCCCCTTGCACGGGAGGAGGTGCGAGAAGATAGCCTTCGAGTGGCGATCGCGAAGGACTATGGTGGGCAGTCCAGCGCCATCGGTCCTCTCATTGAAGTAGAGGTAGTCCATGCTGATGACAGGCACCGTGGACTCCTGACCCGAGGCTTTGTGCTGGTAAGCTCGACCACGACCTGCAACGCAGGCTCTGCACCAACTCCTGTATGGAACGTGGGAGACCTCATGAGCTGCTATCATCTCGGGCGTTGGTCGGTCTGGCCGGGCCAACGGCTGAGCAGACTGACCCTCATCGACCTGTGGCTGGGAGGACGCTGAAGCAGCTTCCTCCCTTGGTGGATCAGCACCGCCGGCTTCACCCACATAAAGGGATCCAGATCGATTCTTGCCCGAGTTAGACCTAGGCTTTTCCTCTGCTTTGCGTATTGGGCTTCTTGGCTTTTCCTTTGCTTTGCGCGTTGGGCTCCTTGGTTCTTCCTTTGCCTTCTCCTTTGCTTTGCTTCTTTCCTCCTCGGCTTTGTCCTCTTCTCCTTCCGATCCTATGAAAAAGTGGTCGGGAGAACTAGCTACCGGAGGGGGCCTAGGAAGATGAAAAACACTACCTTTTCCTACCGCGCCAAAATGGCTGTCAGGTGAAACTTTCGAATTTTTCTGTACATCTACAGCACCTACTCCCTGAGCTACCGCAAGGTGGGTGAAAACGCTTTCGGGCTTCCGGCCTCCCTTTGGGCTTACCTGCACTCCTCCGGGCAGTGCCGCGGGAAACCCTTGAAAGCAAACGTCGCCTTAGGCGACCCAAGGATCTTGAACACCAAAGTTTTCTCCTCGCTTCCTTTCACACGGATCACTGCTCTCGATCCTTTCAGGACGATCGTGTGCCCAAGCTTCAGCACTTGGGTCGCGCTGAGAAGCGCACGCTGCACCGAGGCCACGCAAAACCGGACCTTAAAGGAAAACCCTTCGGTCGACCTCAAAGACACCACGGCCGTACCGAGGTTTGGCAGCCAGCTTCCGTCTGCGGTGCGGAAGCCTGCCGGTCCTTCGGCGGGTCCCCATTCCAGGTGCTTCACCCACTCCTGTGGGATCACATTGTGGCTCGCCCCACTATCCAGGATCACTTGGATGGTGGTAGCCGAAGCGGCCCCACCAAACCCTGGCTCAAAGGAGTACACCACGGCCTCCTTGGCTCCTTCCCCACCGCCTGGTGGGCTCCTTGGCCCACGGTCCAAAGGTCGGTGGCCGGGGTCTGAGTCTGTGTCGGGGTCATCGTAACCCCTTTGGTCTTCTTCCTCGTCTTCGCTCAGGAGCTCTTTGGCCTTTTGCTTGGCCCTTGCTGCCCGCCGCTTCTTGTAAAAGCGGTCTGCAGGCTCGGTCGTCTTCGCACGCCTGCTGTGGCACGAGTGGCAGTCGCTGTCATCATCCAGGTCCCGGTTGGCGATTGTTTCGCCCACCGTGCCCCTCGGGGCCAAGGCCCGGAGCTTTCTCCGGATTCCAACCCTTGCGCGGAACCGGGTTGCAGCCTGGTACTGCTTTGCAAGACCCCTGCGGCGGATCTGCTTCTCTGGCAGGGCTGGTGAGGTAGTTCACAAACCTCGAGAACATCTGGCTGTACTTGTTCAGCTGGGGCCTGCCTCGGGACTTGGGCTCGGCCCTCCAAGGTGCAGAGGCGATTGCCTCCTCCACCTTTCTTTTCTGGCTGAGGGTGAGCTCGGAGATGCCCTTTCTTCGCACCACAACCCCCGAGCCGTCGATGAAGGTGAAGACCATCTCCACCAGGTCCTCTTCTTCCTCTTCCTTCTTCTTCCTTCTCGACTCATGGCCCGGTGGCGGAGTACTCGGCTCTTTGGGCGTCGCCCGAACCTTAGGGGTCGGCCTCAGCTTAGGCGGTGGCCCCTTCGGCTCACTGGGCCGGTCGGTTCCGCGAACCCCCGCCGGTGGGGACCGAGGCGGTCCACCACCCGCTTCTTCCTTCATCTCCTGAGCCCTTCTTTTCTTCCTTTTCTGCTCTCGCAGCCTCTTGCCTTCGCGGCCCTCTGGCGTCAGCCGCCGAGGCTTGGCACTCCAGTCCCTTTCCTTGGGCTCGTCGAGCTCATCCCCAGAGTGCTCGCGGTCCTCGCCTTCGCCCCTCATCATAGCCTTTTCCCGGCGAGAGGGTGGTGCAGCTACCTTGGACCCAGCACTGGGCAGCAACGGATATTCATCCTGCTTGCGTGCCCTCTCGGGTATGTTGAACCTCTTCTCCAGGGCTTCCTCCCTTCTAACTCGTGCCTTGGCTTGCCCTAGCCTGAGGCTTTGCCGGTGCTTGGCCGCTCTCTGGCGGCTCTTTTCTTTCCGCTTTGCCAGCCGCGGGTTGTGACCCGCATTCAGGTCGGCCTGAAGCCTAGCCGAGATCCTTTCTTCTCGGTTCCTTTTGAGCTCCTGGGCCCTCTTGATCTGACCCTTAACCATATCCAGCATCAGCCGGTGCATGGTGAGCTCCCCTTGGTCACCTTCACTGCCCTTTGCTTCCACCTCGGCGATCTGAGCTTCAAGCTCCCTTCGCCTTTCCTGAAGCTTGTTCAGCACACTCATATCGGCCATCCTTAGGCCCACTGGGGTGGAACTGGCTGATCCCGCCTTGGCTTTAGCCTTGGGTGCCGGGGGATCCGTGGACCCGGCCCCAGAGGTGTCGCCACCAGGTGAGGAACGAAGCGCTCCATCACCTCCGCTTCCATCTTCCCTGCCATCGGCAGGGTCCCCATCAGGGTCAGCTTCGCCCTCGCCATCCAGAGCCCCTATAAAGCCCAACTCGGCTTCCTCATCAGGCTCTTCGGCTTCATATTCGGCATCGCCGGCCCCATCCATGGCGCCGCCCTCCGTGCCGTCAAGCTCGTTGGCTCGGCCCTTTGGCCGGTTCTTGTTACCCTTGCCCGCTTGAGCCTTAGGGTCCTTCAGGTTTCCTTTACCTTTACCCTTACTATCCTTATACCAACAGTCCCTAGCTAGGTGACCTACGCGTTGGCATATGTGACAGGTCCTTGTTTCTTTGACCTTGTCCTTTCCTTTGTCTCCTTTCTTTCCTTTTCCCTTCGGTCCTTTGGCACCCTTCAAAGCATCCACCTCCATTGGCACAGCACCGTCCGTGGCCGTAAAGGCCCGCTTGGTATCCGCAAAGGACACCATTTCTCTCCTCAGCAACTCATAGCTGCTGAGCCTTCCCAGGTTTAGCTCCAGGTGGCCCTGAAGCTCAGACGGCGCGAGGCCGATCAAAGAAACCATCTTCTGCTGCTCCGTCAAAGGTGCGCAGTCCTTTCGCTGGCTGTACCGCCGGTGAGCATCCTCCCATTTTTCAATGGCTGGCACCAGGTCGGTGACGGAGTCCACCGCCGAAGTGCTCATAAGTGACCTTAGCCACCTCATGCTGGTGACCATATCCGATGGATCCAGGCGGGCGTGCAGCCTCCGGAACATGTCCAAACCTGACCCAGTCGAACTATTCATCGTGATGTCCCCAGGCGCATCGCTGGTAAGCGTCCCAAGCACCACCTCAAGCTGGCGATTAAATTCCAGCACCGCTTCCTTGGCAACGCCCGTAATCGAAGTCGACTCCAGGCTTGCCAAAGGAATCTCGGTATCACCCTTTTCCTTGACCCAAGCAAGGATCTTCCTAGCATCCGGAAATTGCGAGGCTAGCCAAAGCTCAAGACGATACGACCATTGGCGCCAATTTCGCGACGCTTCTTCCAATGTACCGCCCAGCTGGCTCGGTCGCCCCACAGCTTTCACATCAATCAAGCCACGTCCCTTTGTGGCCGAGCTAGCCGAAGCAAAGCTCTGCGTTGCAGCTGCAAGCTGCTGTTGCCCATGAACCTGGGCTCCCATCATCTCTTGCAGCCTCTGAAGCTGCTCTTGCTGCCCTTGAAGCAGCCTCAGTAACATTTCCTCTCCTTGGGTAGCCCCCACTCCTGTGGGACTTCCCGGCTGAGACATCAGTCTTTCTTAAAATGCCTCGAAAGGCGATCAAGCAACCTTCTTGGAAAATCCTGGAGCCGCACTCCAGTGTTGTGGAAAAGACGCTGAAGCTTTCGCAGCTTCCTTACCTTCTGAATCAATCGGACCCAATTGGCCCTGGCTCTCTCGCGCTGCGCTCTCCTTCTTCTGCAAGCACAGCAGCAACCCATCCAGGATTGCTCCGCTACCATGAAAGCACTTTTTAGGCTTCTGCAATTGGCCTTGAGCCAAAACGTCGGTAACATGCAAACTGTACAGGAACTAACTACCCTATAGCCCTCACTTCCAGTCAGAACCCCGCACCCAAAAAAACAGAAATCTCAAACTTTATGAATTTCACGTGCCATAGCAGTATAAGATCTTGGGGTACCCCCTATAGTAACCCCTACTTCATCCCTTGTGGTAACCGTCATAGAACCCGTAGAGTAACCCTGTGGGACTCCTCCATTGCATACACCTTGAATCTTCCATCCCAAGCATTACCGCTCGATCTAAACCCGGTACCAAAGCCCCAATAAGCACATGAAGCTTAAAGCAATCACTGCACAACCCTTAGATTGAAGTGGCCTTTCTCCAACACATGAAACTAGAACCCTAACTATAACAACCCTTGCAGAATCGTGAACATATACACATCTAATCACATGACTCATGACTAAAGCTCTTTTGAGCGCTAGACCGACAAGCTACATAGTTTTGATTGCCAACCTAGACCCTAAATCCCAAACTGACTAATCCTCCTTTAAACCCAAAACCGAAAAGCTACATCGTCAACCCTTGACATAATTCTTCTTAAACTTAAACCCTTAAAAGAACCCTAAACTGACTAAAGCCCCTTCAAAACCCTAAGCCGAAAAGCTACATCGTAAACCCTCGACGTAGCATTCCCCTAAACCCTACCTTAACCCTGAATAACCTACCTTTTCCGGGTTCCTTATTATGATTTATTTATATAAGTCCTTAAAACGGCAGGTTCTTCAGGGTCTGCTCTATAGGTAAACCCCATTATCCGAGCTCGCCCATGCCTGGTGGTGTGCCGAACCCAGGCAGAGCTGGCAGCGGTGCAGCCATCGGGGCCTCAAAGTAGGGCTTCTTAGGGCTTCAGGGCTTAGGGGTTTAGGGGTTATAGGGGTTTAGGGTTTAGGGATTTAGGGTTTAGGGTTCATAGGGGTTTAAGGTTTCAGGGCTTAGGGTTTAGGGTTCAGAGGGGTTTAGGGTTTAGGGATTTAGGGTTTAGGTGCTTTTAGGCTTCTGGGCTTTGGGGGTGAAAGGGCTTTGGGATTTTGTGGAATTCAACGCTTCCGAGCGCCAGGGCTTTAGCGATTCCAGCCTCCCGATGTTTGTTGCAATCGGTTTTTGGAGCTTGGGGGCTTCCAGGCTGTAATTTAGGGGTTAGGGGTTAGGTTTAGGGTCAGGGTTTAGGGTTGAGGGGTTTGGGTTAGGGGTTTTGGGGCTTGGGTATATAAGAGGTTGGGCTTCAACATGCGGGGTAGACAGATTCATGGCGTCGTGTGTTGTAGCGTAGGAGAGTCTTGTAAGGATTCTACAATTTCTGCTCTTTGGGGATAATGGGCCGCGGCATTTAAGTGCCTTCAACAGATTAAAATAGGGGATCGGGGGTACACAGTGAAATTCTATTACAACCCCCGATTGCAAAAAAACCTTAGCCTGCCCCAGCCCCGATTGAAAACATCAAGATGCCTCATACATACGAACATTTGGGTATATTCCGTGGCAGGTCTTTCGTTTTGGATCGTTTCGTTCGTAGCCTTGCTTGTATTGAAAACTGTTGCATGTTTGTGACTCAGCCCCTTAGACTGCAGTTGTTTCGACCGCGCGTTTAGCACATACGTCGTCGCTTAGATGCTCCAAAGGTATGCTAACGTTCCGGAGCGTCCTATTCCAGGGTGCTTTATGGCGCCGAAGCCATGACCCCTAATTACATCATGTCGGAGTCACGCCTTAATTGAGGCGAACATAGGGGCCTTCATAATCAGATTAGGGTTTCGGGATATATTATACCAAAATTATATTAAGGAACCCCCAACACTAGTAGCATAGAGCCCCACCGAGACCTTCTAACATGCTTAGGAGTTTCCGAATGGGTCCAAGTACCAACATAACATAGTAGCTACTTAATGTAGAGATCTAGGCCCCCAAAGCATATGCTATACTTCTACTTGGACCCGTTGGGTACCGGGTTTGGGGATACTTCCTTTTCTTTGATGAAAAAAGCCAGCCTCACGGTTGGAATCCCATGGGAGCTTAGGGAAAGGATAGGGGATCCTCATACAAGCCCATGTTGCAATGAAGCTTAACCCCTAAACCCCTAAACCCTAAACCCTTAAACCCTAAACCCCTAAACCCCTACACCCAAAAACCCTAAACCCTAACCCCCTACCTAAACCCCTAAACCCCTAAACCCTAAATCCTAAACCCCCTAACACCCTAACCTCTAAACCCCTAAACTCTAAACCCTTTTGTATCTCTTTTAGCAGCTCCTGGGTCCCAAGACTCCCTTGGCGTTGGCCAGCGGAGCTGTCAGACGCTCCGGGGACAGATGCCGAGCACCCTCTGCCACCTGAGAAAAATTGAGGTCCCTTTTTGGGTACCCTAAATATTAGGTGCCGTATTATATTAAGGACCCCAAAAGGGGCCCTAATTTTGACAACCACCGGCTCTGTCATGTGCTTAGGGTTAAGGGTTTAGGGGTCTGGAGGGGTTGAGGGGGTTCAGGGGTCTAGGGTTTAGGCTTGTGGGTTTAGGGTTTGGAGTTTACTTGGATGGGGGCCTGAGTTTAGGGGTTATGATTCGATGACGCTGATGATGTTGATGGTGGTGGTGATGATGATGTTGATGACGACTACGGCTGACTACGGCTCCCATGGTCGTCATAAGCATCTCTTCTCGTTCGTCATCATGACCAACACCATCGTCAACACCACCATCGCCACCGTCGCTGCCACCAGCAACATCGTAACTGAACCGTTGCCAACACCGTCGCTACGACTTTCACCATCATCACCACCATCTTCCTCCTCCTCGTCTGCCTGCTCAACATCGTCATCGTCATCATCATCACCATCATCATCATCATCACCATCCTCCTCCTCCTCCTCCTCCTCATCATCATCATCATCATCATCGTCCGGATCATCCTCCATAGTTGGATTTCAATGATTTCAGTTTTCCGGACGCTGCGAAGAGCGCAAAACAAGTTTGAAAGTGCCTCAGCTGCAAAGGAGGGCTTTCTGTAGGGGCTCCTGCTCAAACATTCGCGCCGGAAATTTCAGAACGAATCTAGTCAGGGGTTCTTCAGCCATAGGTTAGGTTTCGCTTTTCAGAACAGGTATTCTGAAGAGGATGGCCGTTGATGTCGCGAACCGGCTCGTGGATAGCGTTTTCGGTAAGTTACAGCATAGTTGTGTCGTGGCCACACAACCAAACATACCCGTGTTCGCACCCACGCAAGCAGTGTTTTAGCATAATATCGAGAGGGAGCATTGAAGACACGGTTAAACAGCTAATGCAGCATACCAAGGAGCTGGGTATCAGTTTCACAACCTAAACCCTAAACCCGCCACCCTAAATGCCAAAGTCAACCTCAGTCAGGCTTTTAAGGACTCCAAGTCAGCGCAGATCTGATCTTCCCTAAACCCTAAACATAAACCCCTAAACCCCTAAACCCCAAACCCCTAAACCCCTAAACCCTATACCCCTAAACCCCGAAACCCTAAACCCTTACACCCTCAACCCATGTTTTGCAAGTCAAGACCTTGGGTCCCTAAACACGGAACCCTCCAAACTGAAACCCTAACTGCTCCTAAAAGCGTATGAGCCCTACTTGGAGGTGTTCCGGGGTATGTATAAGTGGGGTTATAAGTCCCCTAATATGGGTTGCAAGTATAGTTACCCTGCCTATAACCCTGCTTATAACTACGCATGAACCTCCAAGTAGACCGTTGTATAGCCAGGTCCAGCAAACTTTCAACTTCGCCATGTAGAATATGATGTAAGCTAGAAAGGCCAAATACGCTCTCCCATGGGATAAGCAAGGTAGAATCCTGAGCCTACAGCCCTGCCAAAGAAAACTGTAAACCCCTCGAAGAACAACTCCACCAGGGAACCCTTAACCAAAAACCTAGGTTCCCCAGTAGCCCCAAGATAGTGAGGTTACCCTTTGTCTTGCGGTTTGCAAAAAACAGAAAATGAGCAAAAGAGTACTAAACACTGGGGAACCTAGTAGCGGCAACCCCAGTTCTGTTATTGACAAATCTGTATGGGACCGTGGAGCAACAAGAAACAACTCTTCAGAAGCACCACTGAGCTTCAAGCCTAAACCGCAGTCTAAACTAAACCCCCACACCGTAGACCCTTGACCCAGAAGCCTACAGTCCAAACTCTTTTGTAGAGCTCTTAAGCGAACTCTGTTACATCCAATAGAATAGAATCCTGCAGCAACCTCATCATCAAAACAAGACCCTTTTTGGGCAAGGGTGCCCTATACACCACCCTATAACAAGGGCATCGGGCTCTTAAGGGCTAAAGCCTATACCCTGAACCTGTAAACCCCAAAAGCCCCAAACCCCAAACCGCGACAAAAACCTTTAGATCCCTAAGCCCCGCTACCCCTAACACACTAAAGCACCCCACACCCATATAAACCCTAAACCCTAGACGTAAACCGTAAGGCCTCCAAGAGGAGGCGCTGGGCGGCCCGAATCTCAGCTTTGAGCTCACGCTCTCCCCTGGACAAACAAAGATGGACGAGGAAGCCCCAGAAGCAAGGTTTAGGGTTTAGGGTTTAGGGCCCCAGAAGCAAAAGCTGCACTTGGAGGTTCCGGGGTAGATATCAGTGGGGTTATAAGTCCCCAATATATAAAGTATAGTTATCCTACTTATAACTACCCATGAACCTCCAAGAAGAGGGCCTAAACCCTCAACCGTCAGGTTTTTTTTGCGCTCGTTTGGGGAGGTTCGAGCTGCGTTTCGGTCTTGGGAGTTCGGAAACGAAGCCTTCTCGGAGCCTTTAGTCTGCGGCAGAACGGCTTAAATCGGGGTTTTGATGCAGCTCCATAGGTTTTCCTGTGTTCTTTTTGTGCTTTTCGGGGAGGCTTCAGGGTTGCGGTCTCGGATTTAGGGCACGGGCTGGAGCGAACCAGTTTGCACATGTTTGGGTGATCCTAACAACGGGTATCTTCTCTCCCTTTCGCATGTGCAGAGGCTTAGCAGAACAAACAAGAGTCTGATTTAGAGAATCGAAGGGTTGCCAGTGCCAGTTGGCACAGACCATAGAAGGTTTAGGGGGAGAGGATGCAGGTGCAAGGGGGACGTTGGATTTAGAGGTACCGGAGTTGGACAGAGTTTGGGGCGTGCAGCTCTGCTATGTGGGTCGCAGGCCAAGGGGTTCAATGCCTGAGGTTCCGCGCGGTTTCGGTGAAACCTAAACCCCAAACCCTTACATCAGCCCTAGACCGTAAGGGGGGGAGGTAAACCATAAAACTTACCTTTAAATGCGTGGAACACGCTATCAGGATGCTCCCTGCGCAAAGGATGACACACCAAGGTGCGCAACACGAAGGCTGTTTTTGCTCGAAAAAGTTCGGAGCCCCAGATAAGCGATCGATTAGGCCATAACATTCGGGAATCACGAAAGTCGCCAGGCAATCTTGTCCTTCGGATTGGATTCGGATTAAGTACTTGTTTGGACGTTTGTGTCCCTGGAGATCGAGGTGGCCGCTCGGATTGCAATTACTGGGTTTGGGTGGTTTAAATTACGTAGGTTATCAGCCGTAACCGGCTAGGTTACGGGCTACGAGACTTGTTCGGGGTCTAGTGTAGATTCCTTCGGGAGCCATGGATGCTCTTCGCCGTAGTAGGAGAAACTTGACTGCTGGTGATCCGGAGTTGGGAGATTCTGCTATGGAGCCTGATTATACAACAGCCTTGGGTCAAGATCTTGCGCCTCATGAGGGTGTTGAATCCAAGCATGTGGGAGAGGCCTCTCCGGGAACTCTCGAGGAGGGTGGGGCTATTTCGCAGTTGGATGAGGGGCCTATTGCAAGTCCATTTCATTCTGACAAGGTCAGGGTGGAGGTGGCTTTGGCACGGAGCAGGCCTAAGTTCCTCGATGACGATGGGCGTAGGGTTGGCGATTATAGCGATACGGGGCTAGGGGATAACAGCTTGGCAGGGCGCCAAGATGAACCAGACTACTCTGGACCTGTATCAGCTCAGATGGGGCTGCCAAGGGTGGCAAGGATTGAGCATGTGGCGTCTCCGGGCGCGGCTTCAAGCGGCAAGGGTCGTGATGGTGTAGAACATTTCGATACTGCTAAAGCTGGAGCTCGGCAATCGCCGGATCATGAAGGGTCTACCGGAAAGGGTGTTGGAATTCCTGGCACTGCAAGACGGGTGTCTCAACCTATTGATTTGGATCCTGAGCCTCAGGGTAATCCCGAAAGGCCGAGCGTTGATGATCATCGGGAGTTGGTACCTGCGGAAGCTAGTAAGGCCGATCAGCTTGAGGTGATGCTCCTTCAAATCATGGAAGAGAATAGACTGCTCCGGGATAGGTTGGATCAGGTTGAGAGGTCTAGTTGGCATTCCGGGGGTACTAGGAATACGGGTGATTTGGCTGGTGCATCACCTATGTCTTTCGGTCCTGACCATACGCTAGCCGTGCAACCTGTACAGGCTGAGCCACCTAGAGTGCAATTGGATGCCAGTGGGAATGATCACCGGGATATGAGAGCCGGGGGTTTAAGTCTAGTTCCATCTCGACAGCTGGAGCTAGTTGCTCCAGGCCAATCTTCTGGACTGCGGAATCTCAATGTGGGTGCTTCCCAAGCCGGATTTTCAGGGCCGGGCGACGCGTTGTCACTGGACGTTAGGACACAGTCGTTTAGAGATTTCAGACAGATGGTTGAGGATCAGGGTCAGAGTAGTAGGGGTGATGCGGGCTTTCATACTCCGAGGTCGGGCCCTTCTACGGGGTTGATGGTCTCTGGGGATGGTTATCCGGTTTCTCCTGGAGGGACTGTTATCCGGCCTCCGCCTGGACCGCCACCTACCTCGCCACGCGTAGCGCCTGCGCCTCCTGTTTTGCCTAGTGGTCTGGGTTGGGCTGTGCCATGTGCTGCTTCGCCTGTTGGTTCTGGGATGCCCTGCGGTTCAGCGGTTCCGGGATACACGGGTGGCCACGGTATGGGTCAAGGAAGTGTTGGAGGGGCTTTCGCGGGTTCTGTTGGGGGTCTTGGGGCTTCTTGTGGGGTGCCTGTTGCCTCTGGTGGTAGAGGGCCGCTTAACCCAGAAGAGCCGGCGAAATACATCAACGAGCTTCCGAAACTGACTCAGACGGACTTGTCACAATCAGCTGTTGTGTGCGGGAATTGGGTCGCTCAGATTCGGCAGATCCTTGTGGGGTTGTCTCCTAACGCAAGTACGTGGTGGCTTGGTGTGGAGGGTCCTGCAAATGAAGCATATCAAAAGTGGTTGGTGGCTGACCCACTGGGGAGGTTGGCGATTGATCCCTCGATGGTAAAGGGAACCTTCGATGCATACGCGTTTAGCCGGGTAGAAAGTCGGGCTGTAAGCTTGCTACTTTCTGCTGTTCCACAGGGGGTTAGGGAGGATGTTGTTACCAACCGTTGGCTTTCTTCGGCGGCCATCCTTTTTAGGATTCTATGCTTGTTTCAGCCTGGAGGTAGTACCGAACGAGCACACTTGTTGAGCCAGCTGGTGAACCCTGGGGTATTTAAGGGCTTTTCGGAGGCACTAAAAGGTCTGAGGCAATGGCAACAGTCGCTGCAACGGGCAGGAGAAATACACGCCACCCTACCGGACCCTAGCCTTTTGCTTAAAGGGGTGGATGGTGCTACGGGGTCGCTTCTGGCTGCTCACCCTATGGTCGGGTTCAGGGTAAACGCGTTTCGACACCGTTCTGCTATCGATTATAACCCGTCCGTGGATGGGGTTGTTCAACTAGTGAAACTTATTCGGGCTGAATGTGAAGCGGGTTCTTTAACTATGGATCCTCCTGATAAAAAGGCGCGTGCGGCCGCTCTTGCTGCGTCAACTGCTTCTGCGGAGGTTGCTTCGGGGGTTGAGCCTAAGGGTCCTTCTGTTTCAGCGGTGCAAACTGGAAAGGGTGGGGATTCTGGGTCGGGTGGACAACCGAAGGGCAAGGCTAAAGGTAAGGGGTCGGGGGAAAACGCGTCACTGTGTACAAACTTCTCAACCGCCGTGGGGTGTCGCTTCGGGGATGCTTGTAGATTTAAACACGACCGAGCGGTAGCTAGGAGGGAGAAGCGGTGCTTGGCCTGCGGACAATCGGGACATTATAGGCCAGAATGCTCTGTAGTGCCGGAAGAGCATAGGCGGGTTCAGGTTCCTGATAGTGGTTCGGATGCCTCCCCTAAGGCTAAGGCCAATCCTAAAGCTAAACCCAAGGCCGGTCCGCAGGCAAAGGGTGTTACTGAAGAGTCAGCGAGTGCAGCTTCGATTTCTCAGACACCGCAGCCAAAGGCTGCTGCCACTTCGAGTGCAACGGTGCAGCAGGAGTTGCTGGCAGAAGCTCAGAAGTTACTTAAGGGCGTAACCTTGAAGGCTGCTAGGGTTCAGGATGGTGGTGATCTTGCAATTGATAGGGCCTGGCTTCTGTCGGCTATGGCTAGTGCGTCGGATCCTGATTTTGCGCTTGTGGACAGTGGAGCCACAAATGGGTTAAGGCAAGCGGAGCCGGGCGAATGGGAGCGTACTAGGGCCATTCAGGTTGATTTAGCTTCCGGAGTTGCGGAGCTTCACATTGATGAGAGGGGGACTCTCTTGAGCCAGGCTCCCTGCCAGGTCATAGTCCCTGCCGGTTACTTAATTGAACTGGGTTATGTTGTGAGCTGGAAGAAGAAGGGCTGCTTGATTACTCATCCTAGGGATGGTAGGCTTCGGGTACAGGTAGTTAAGGGATGCCCACTGATTCCGAGGGATGATGGCTTGAGATTGCTGCGGGAGTATGAGGGTCTTAAGGATAAAGGAAATTCCCCCCAACGGGCGGCGGTTTGTCGGGAGAGTGAGATTGTTGATCCTGCGAATGCACGGGCTTGGTTATGCAAGATTCTTCGCTCCAGGGGCGAACAGGGTCCGTCTATTGAGGAGCAGGAGTGTTTTCTCAGGGGGATGTTTCCCGAACTGCCGGATAATTGTGTTCGGAGGGTAGTTTGTCCGGTGTTGGACCCTGGAGATGTTGATCACTCGTCTCACCCTTGGAATCGGCGCTTTCGTCGGTCTGTTGCGCGTTCGAAGCCTGGCGGTATCTTGCTTCATATGTTTGCCAACAAGAAATCCTGGAAGGGTTTCGACCGGGTGATTAGCCTCGGTAAGGATTACCAGTCGGACATCCTGAGTGACCCGGTGTTTAAGTATGTGATGTCGTGGGCCAGTTCAGGGAAGATTGGTGGTTTGGTTGGATCATTGCCGAGAGAGTCGGTCTGGCCTGGCGGTCAATCTTCTGGTCCCCAGGAACTTTTGAGGGGTAGGTATGGCGATCGTTGGGGTTTTGAGGGCTTAACCGGAGAGCAGTCTAGGGTTGTATGCGATGAAACGGTTCAGTGGTTCCGATTCTTTCTGGTATTTGCGGTAGCACAAGCGGTTAAGGATGCTGAGAGCGCTCCGGTGAGCTGTCCTGTAGCGGAAAGGGGGGAGGAGGAGGTCCCTCCACCTGGGGTCGAGGATCCCAAGGATTTAGCTTTGTGGGCATTACGGGTTGCGTCTAAGAGGATTAGTGCTGCTGCCATTAAGAAAGACAACGAGGGGAATCGATCCACTGTATTCTTGACCTTTGAGCATCCTTTTGATTTCACGGAAGGTTCCGGCATTGGTCGGACGGAGCTCGCTGGGTATCCTTCTATGTGGGCATTTAGGGAGGTTCAAGATCTCGTTGGGGTGTACGGGTTGCACATCGCATCATTTGATCAGGGATTGCTTGGTGGCCGTAATGGGGAGCTGACAACGATTGCTACCTCTTCGTGGTTTCTGTATGAGGGACTTCATGGAGTTGGTATAGATTTGAAGGGTGATCCTAGTGGGGAGTTGAGGCCTTGCATTGAGTATTTCGGGTGGTCCATTGGGTTTCTAGCGCGCGTACAAGGGGCTTGGTTGGATTGGTGTGCTGGGAAGGAAAGTGAAGCTGTCGTAGCTGAGCGGAAGGTTTGGCTAGCTAAGCTTTCTGAGAAAGAGCTACTTCAGCAGCACGCTGATAACGATCATGTTCCGTTTCTTCGGGGTTGCCCCGTGTGTATAGCTGCACAGGGTAGGCAGAGAAGCCATTGGAGGGCCGAGGTAACTAGCCTGTATTCTCTTAGCTGTGACTTAGCTGGACCGTTTAAGGACGGGATGAGTTTTGATGCTACAGCTTCTGGTAGAGATAAGGGCAAAGGGTATAAGTACTTCTTGAGTGCTGCGTATTCGGTGCCGGTGAAACCGGTGTATCTTCGGCCAACGGGGGTCGAAGAGCCTCGCCCAGAGGGGGCGGAGGATCTCGATTACTCTCCTTCTGAAGCTGAGGGTCCGGAGGGTCAGGCTTCAGGTGTAAGCGGGTTGGATGCTTCGCTTATTGTAGAATCGGGGGAGTCTGATCTGTTTGACGCTTCGGGGGGTTTGGGCCTGAAGGCATTGTTTCGCAGAGTCCGGGAGAAAACTTTTCCTGCTGTTGATCCCCTGGATTCGAGTACTTCCTTTGCGCATCAGCGAGTCGCTGAGACAGGGCCTGAATCTCCAGGTGATAAGGGTCAGTCTTCGGTTGATGGTGTAAGGGTTGAGACAAAGACTTTGTTTCTTGGGGTCCCGTTAAGATCCAAACATGGTCCTGCTGTTATGGCACAGATTCAGGCCCTTGTGTGTCGTCTTGAAAGCGCAGGGTTTCCGGTTCATCGCTACTTTAGTGATAGGGCTAAGGAGCTGAGGAGCCATGATTTGGTACGTTGGTTGCGCGATAAGGGGATTTACGCCTCCTTCACGGCTGGGGAAGATCCTCAAGGTAACAAAGCGGAGTTAGGGGTGCAACATTTGAAGCAAGGGGTCAGGAAGCTCCTGCAAGCTCCGGGTTTGAGTAGCTCCTTTTGGCCGCTAGCGCTACTGCACACTTCTAATCGTAACTTCCACGAACTTTGTGCAGCTTTGGGTCAACCACGGCCTGCTATGCTGAACTTTGGTGCACCTGTTGAGGCCAGAAAACGCCTTAAATCGGGGCACAAGAAACATTGGGAGCCGCGTACGGTTCCTGGTCGTTATTTGGGACAGGCTCCGGATTGTACGGGTGGACATCTAGTTCTAGTTGGCAAGAATTTGTCGGACCAGAAGGTTCTCCTAACCAACACGATTTATCCATTGCGTCCCGAGCCTGCGCCCCCTAAACCCAAGTATCGACTTTCGGGTAAGCGCTCGCCCGGCTTTGCAACTCGAGCTGTAGCTGCTGTGGCCAGTCTCTGGCCTTCCCGAAGACCTCGTGCATCCAGGTTGTCACCTGGGGGGGAGTCCTTTGAGTGTTCGGATGGAGTCCTGGGTTTTTCGAGTGAAGGCGCGGGTTCTTCCTTGCTGAGTTTGGGGGCTTCGACACCAAAGGATTCTTCTCGGGACGTAGAGCTTGGAGAATGGGTCGAGGTTGATTCGGATTTCGAAGCTGAGCAGGCGATGTGCCTGGATATTCTTGATGAAGAGGATTCTAGGGGCTTAGAGGTTGGGTTGAAGGCGGTAGCCGAGGAACAGAAGGAGTGGTTGAAAGAGTTGATTGCTTCCGGCTCCTACAGTACTAATGAGGTTGTAAGGGTTTTAAGAACTTGTGCAGGCAACCTGCAACCGGCGAATCGGAAGATTATGGGAGGAAAGGGTAGGTATGCTATTCTTGGCCTGTATAATCAAGGGGGTTTCAACGGTGTAACCCGGTTTGCCCTTGATAACCAGGAATTGGTGAGGTACTTGAATAGGTATGTTGATTCGTTCGGCATGGGTGGAAGGTATACGACGCTGTACTTGTCATTGAATACTGGAGTACCAGTGCACCGGGATATCAGGAATGATATGACGGCCCCGGTTTGGATTGTAGCCTGCGGTGACTTTCAGGGTGGTGGCCTATGGATAGAGGGCGAAGCCGGTCAAGGTCCCGTGTTAAAGGTTCTTCCGAATGGGGAGACGCGGTGTGGGTGGATTCAGGACATTCACGATAAACCTTTTGTTTTTGAGGGTTCCAGGTGGCACTGTACTGAGCCTTGGAGCGGTAGGGACCGGTGGGTGATCGCAGCCTACGTTCCTCGGGGAGCTGGAAGGGTGATCAAGGATCATGCCCAACAACTTGAAAGCCTAGGGTTCAACTGTGATGGTTTGATTCCTGGGATTGGGAATTCAGGGATCTCGATTTCGAAGTGTAACCAGGCGTCGGTATCGTTTGCCGATGATGATGCCCTTAGTGTTGAGGGTTCCTGTGTTGATGACGAGTATCAAACTTCTGAGAATGACATTTCTTGGGAGATTGATTTTCCGTGTGAAGTGCTTGAGGGTGATTGGTATCCAAATGTCGTTCAAGCTCATGCTGAGACCGCACGCTTGTGCAGGGTCCTATCACAAGAGCTGGGCGGATGTTGGGATTCGTTCTGCTTTGATGGATTGTTCGGGCAGCTGAGAGCGGCTGAGAATCAAAGGGATTGGTATGAAGGGCTTCTCTGGGATGAGTTTCTTCGGGATTCCGCGATATCCTTGAGGTCACTAAGTACAGTTCCTTTGGGCAGTGATGAGCCGTTACCGGCTTCAGAGGTGTTCCTTCAAACTAGGACGGTCTCTATGACGGAAGCTAGGCGGGAACTTCCGTTGTGGATTCCACCGGCGCAGGAGGAAGTTACGTCTCTTGAGGATGTCCATGAAGCAGTCATTAGAATACAAGTTCCGGATATCGAGGCCCTTGTTAAGACTGGTCATCGGGTTGTTCAGGTTCCGGGGAAGGCCGTGCTTACGCGGAAGTCCGGTGTAGGTAAACGTCGGTTTCGATGCGTGGCATGTGGGAACTTTATCCCTCAAAATGAGAACGCCCAGAGCCTCTACACCACTGGAGTTGAGGGTGTGACTTTAAGGGTAGCACTTGCTTATGCTGCACATATGTCTTGGGTTGGCCGGACCGCCGACATTAAGACTGCATTCCTGAATGCCCCCTTAGAGGAAGGCTACGATAATGGGACAGAGGAGATTGTAGTTGTACGCCCTCCTCACATTCTTGTGGAAATGGGACTCCTTGGTGTCACTGATCGGTGGCGGGTAGTTAAGGCCCTTTACGGTCTAAGACAGGCTCCGAAGGCTTGGGCTGTGCACCGGGATAAGATTTTAAAGGCTTTTGAGTTCGTGTACAAGGGTTCGCGCTTTGTCCTGAAGCAAGCGATTGCTGATGAGTCGTTATGGTACATTATAAAGGCGGACATCTCGGATGCTAACAACTATGCCCTGATGGTCGTGTACGTCGACGACATCTTGGGATTGGGACCGAGGGACCTTTTGGTATCGCTCTTCGAAGCCATTAAGAATATTTGGACGATTTCTGAACCAGAGTGGATTGTCAAGGAGAAATCTGTAAAGTTCTGCGGCATTGAATTGTGGGCACTTGATGACGGCTTCCGTATGTCTCAGTCGGATTACTTGAGGGAGCTATTCGCGAGGTATAACATTTCCACTGGTGCGAGCTGTCCTATGTCATCCTGGAGCGAACCGGAACCCGAGGTAGATGCAACAACAGATCTGATCAAGGAAGCCCAAGGGGTCACAGGTGCACTCCTATGGGCTGCTTCGAAAAGCAGACCGGACATCAGCTACTCTGTCTGTAAGCTTGGGCAGTACGCAACAAAATCGCCGGGTATCGTCGTCAAGGCTGGTATGCAAATCCTTAAGTATCTCTTTGACACTGTAGAGCTGGGCATTGAATACAAGCGAACAGCAGGCACAGCTTGGTTGGACACACCAATCCCGAGAACGGTTGGTACGGTAGAGGTGTTCACTGATGCTTCACACGCGCCGGAGGGGGCTAGAAGCCACCAGGCGATTATGGTGATGTGGCTTGGCAGTCTTATCGCTTGGGATTCATCCAGACAACCTTTCACAACACTGTCCAGTGCAGAGAGCGAGCTGGTGGCCATAATATCTGGGGTGTGCGCCGCGGAATCAGTCGGGGCTATCTTGGAGGAATTAGTCGCTGAAGACCTTGTGGTATCGGCGATGTCCGACAATCAAGCATCAATCCGAAGCTTCGCTGCTGGAAGCCATGGCTGGCGTAACCGCCACTTAAGAATGCGCGCGGCCTCGTGCCGCGAAAGAATCGAATCTGGTAGTCTAATTGTCTCCTTTGTACCTGGAGAGCGGCAGCTGGCCGACTTAAGCACCAAACCGCTGGCAAGACCAAGAATTATGTACCTACTAAATCTGCTTTCAATCCGTGCGAGGTCGCAGGATCAGGAGGTTGATAATCACGGACGGGTGTTGAGTAGGCTCTGGTTGACTTCGCAGCTTAAACCGGTGGGTTCAGCCCACATGTTGGCGGGGTTAGCGTTGCTTGCAGCCATACCGGAAGTGAGAGCGCAGCCTAGTGGAGATGCGGCTTTGGAGTACTATGGATGGTTTAGCTGGTTGATTATGTGGATACTTACCGGGGTCGGTTTAGCTTTAGCTTGGTGGTTTGTGTTTCGCAACGTGGATGCGGACAATCTTGAGGAGCAACCGCTTGAAGCATCCCAAGAGTCTGGCGTGCATGAGCTTGCTGGTCAGGGTGATCACGGGTTGTTTGGTTCGGATGCGGTTGCGGGTTTAGGATCGGGTTCTCAGGTTGGGGGGAGCAGCTCTAGTAATGATCCAGCCGGGTTGATGCCACAGACGGTTGGCGCTGGGGTTGATTTTGCGACTTCTCTGACTGGGGGGAGTAGCTCTAGTGGTGATCCAGCTGGGCTGCTGCATCAGCATGCTGCCGAAGCGCTTTTAAATCAGAGTGAACCAGCTGAGCCAAGTTTAGATTATGAGGATCTGGTCCAAGGGGACGAGGAACCGGTGTTTCCCCTGGCCCTGGTAGGAGGGTATCTAGTTCGGCATTTCTTGGTACAGCTGTTGTCGGTAGAAGGGGAAAGGGTTTTGATGTTCCTTGGGGATAGGTCTGAGTCTTGGTTTAGGCTTCGGTTGACCTCTACTCAAGTTAGGTTTGGAGTAGCCGGTTCACTGGTTGAGATTCTTAGGCAAGGACCTTGGGCATTGGTTTTTAATGGGCCTCAGTGGCTACTTGCCACAGAGGAATACATCCGACGGGGGTGTGTTGATCCGGGCTTTGAAGAACCATTCGGAGCATCTCTGTCAAATGTGGCACAATCATCTCATGAGGTTCCCGTCAGTGGTGAGCTTACTGAGTTCCCCTATGTCATTTGGGCTCCTTCTGACTTTGTTCATTACCTGAGACGATTGCTGGCTTTGAACGGCGCCACATTGTTGAGCTTGCTTGGTAACCAGTCGGTCGAATGGGTGCGGCTGAGGACCGTGTCGAGATCCTTTCAATCTGGGGTCGTGCTTGCTTTAGTGGTATGGCTTCAGGGTCTGCTTGTCGGTCCAGTGTCCTATGACGTAGCCACCGCTTACATTACTGGGCGCATTGCGCCAGATTCCGAGAGCGAAGATGAAGCATTGGATGATTATCCGCATCGCGATCCCGCCTACCAACAGCATCCTCCGGTGCCAGTGTTTGCTCAGATGTTTCAAGAAGCTTTTGAGGAAGCTACTTCGTCTGATGCGAGTGTGACTTCTACTACCGAGCCATCGGTTTGGAGTGCGAGTTCTAGTGAAGTTGAGGAGCTTGGGCAAGTCGAGGAAGTCGCTGATAGCTTGAGTCCTTCTGCTGAGGCTGTAGCTGGGGTCCGATACGAAGCTGAAGACGGGAAGCTTTTGGTTTACTATGTCGATGATGTATTAGTTGTTCCTCTGCCGGGGTGGAGCCTCGCGCAGGTTCTGGTGGTAGTTCAAGGGCTACGCACAGGCGTTTGGGATAACTTTCAAGAGGCCTTGGAGGCTGTTTCAGGTGACGGGGCAGAAGCTCCTGGGTCTTAAGGGGTTTCTAGGTTCCGGCTAGTGGGATTGTTGGGTCTTGCGTTTGCGAGTGATTTAAGATTAGGCTGATAGTAGGTCTCTGAATTCTGGGTTCGGGGATTGGTCTGTGCGCCACGACCGAAGGTTGTCGAGATCTGCTTGAGGTGATACTTGAATGCTCTGTGACCATGTGCGGTGATCATTTCCACGAGTGCTGTCGGGCTCCCTTTTAATCACGATGAAAACAGCTTTGAGTTGGTGATGGAAGGCTGTAAGTTCCTTCCTTTTGCTCTGCAGTCAAATAAAGGCTGTGGGTACCTAGTTAGCTTGTGATGATTTCCCGTGGTAGGCAATGTTTCTCCAATTTTAGATTGGGCTTTTAGAGGTCCTGTTAAGCTAAGTCTGACAGGTCGTTTGGAAACACGCTGAACGAGGGAGATTGTCCGTTAGTGTTGGACGCTGGAGACTTGTATTTCAACTATCCCCGAAGGGGACCCTCACGAATAGCTCGAGGTGATCGGAATTGAGTCTTAGCTTTTGTCCTCAAGCCGAGTGCATAGTGTCGAAACAGGTGGGAACATCCTGAATCTCGTGCGAAAGCATGTTTTCCTAGTACCTATCCCCTGGCTCTTGTAGGACCAGGTGAGGGGGAGTGCGTGGAACACGCTATCAGGATGCTCCCTGCGCAAAGGATGACACACCAAGGTGCGCAACACGAAGGCTGTTTTTGCTCGAAAAAGTTCGGAGCCCCAGATAAGCGATCGATTAGGCCATAACATTCGGGAATCACGAAAGTCGCCAGGCAATCTTGTCCTTCGGATTGGATTCGGATTAAGTACTTGTTTGGACGTTTGTGTCCCTGGAGATCGAGGTGGCCGCTCGGATTGCAATTACTGGGTTTGGGTGGTTTAAATTACGTATTAAACCCTAAAGTCCCTAAACCCTGCTCTAAACCTATAATAAAGGGTAGTCCAAGCAGCAAGGGCAGGAATGACATAGTATATAGTTACAGGTTCCTAGACGACGGGGCCTCTCGTAGGTTTGAGGTTTAAAGTTTAGGGTGGACTACATGTTTTGCAGCCTTCTACATGTCTAGTGCCTTTGGCCACCAGTCCCGTTGACTGTGAAGTAGTTGGTGCAGATCTAGCACTCCGGCTTGCTATCTGATGCTTCGGTAAAGATTCTTACATAAGCTTGAAGCTTAACCGCCTAAGGCTTGGCTTAACCCTAACCAACAAACACTGGGACGATGCTTTCATCTCCTGAGGCACTTTGGCACTGTCGCGAAAGTCACGCAGCCTGTAGTTAGCCCCGAGCACATCGGGCAGACAATGGTAAGTGAAACCGTGTATTGCGCGCGGATCGGACCTCGGCTGTGACATCCGAGGCTGAGATTCAGCAGGACTCAGGGTTTAAGGTGTAAGGTTCAGGGTTTAGGGGCCTCTTGATTTACAGGAATGTCAGAATGCCCGCCAGGCGACAAACAGAGCCTGAACAAGAGCAGCAAACATCCTTGTGGGCCCAGGGTTTCAGGATCAGCAGCAGATCCACTGTTTCCAAGTTGCTCCTGTATGTCCTGTGTAAACCGGAAGGGAACGAGATCAATCGCAGCCAATTGAATTTGGTGCGACCTAATTGTGATGACGTCCTCGACTGCAGTACCAGGTAGCACACCCACCAAAAGTCACAGAATCGCTACCATAACCCCCCAGCCTAAACCGCAGGAGTTGCCGTCAATACATTTGGCCAACACCCCGAAACCCTAAACCCCACAACCCAAATCCTACAACCCAACTCCTAAACCCCACAAACCCTAAACTTGAAACCCGACAGCCCTACAACCCAAACCCTACACCCCCAAACCCTAAACCCTAAACCCTAAAACCCTACAACCATGCACTCTTTGGGCCGGCCAGGCAGCGGAGCTGCAGACCACTGCCAGGGCCATCCTCGCGACGGCACCCAGTCCCGGCTCCGCGGCGGGTCCTGCTTGGAGGATCATGGGACTTAGTGGGGTTCCTTAAACGGCTCCTTAAAGGGATCTATAAGGTTCCTTATAAAGGGATCTATATGGCTTAAGGTTTAGGGTCTACTTGGAGGATTTAGGTTTAGGGTTCCTTCTAAAAAGGGTACTAGAGGGTTCTATAATGGGGTTCCTTAAAGGGATCTATAGGGGTTCTATAATGGGAATCATAGGACTTAGAATAAGTCCCATGATCCTTTAAGTGCTCTTGTAGGGTTCAGGGCTTCTTGTCACAGGGTTCTAATCAGGTTTCGGGTGTCTTATAGGGTTTAGGGCTTCTTACAGGGCTTTTTGTAGGGCTCTTATAGGGTTTATATAAGGTTTCTTATAGGCTTTGGGGTGTCTTCTATCGTTGTTATAGGGTTTAAGGCTTCTGCTTGGGTTTCTTTTAGGGTTCATATGGGGTTTAGGGTTCCTTACAGGATTCTTGTGGGGTTTGGGATTCTTATAAGGTTCTCGCAGGGATTAGGGTTTCGTGAACGGATTCGTATGCGGCGTAGGCTTTCTTATCAGGTTCTTACAGGGTTTAAAGTTTTAGGGTTTGTTCTGGTTTAGGGTTCAGTGCCTGGGGTTTCTGAATGTGGCTCTGAGCGACGTATAGCGCTTCTGATTGCCATGTGTGGTTTCAGAAGCTTTCCTGTGCCTTGTGTAAGGCTCCTTATGACAAGGATACGTCTTCATTCGAGTTTCAGAAACTGTTTCAGAAACTAGAGGACTGTGAAAAAAGACCGCACGGAGTAGTGGGAACCTGACTACAAGGAGCCCCTGATAAGGTATCTGCAATTTAGGAATCCCCATTAACAACAGCCAAAGGACAAACACACAGACAGAGACCCCACAAGCCGGACAGTGCCCCATACATACACGAAGCGCTTGTTGTCGGGGTTGTGGTCCGCAGTGTTCATAGCTGCCAAAATCACTCGAATTGGTGATTCGAGTTTTCGCTGCCATTGCGGCGAATTCGGCACCACCTTGATGTGGTGTCCTCTCACTGGCTGGTCCTCCGAAAGGTAGAGGGGCGTGCCCGAGCCGCCGCCGTACTTCTGGATGAAGGCCTGCCTCATGTCCCAGCTTTTGAAGGAGAGGACCGTCATGGAGGAGAAGAAAGTCCCCTGTGGCACCGTGGTAGTCGGCTGAGGTCCTCCTAACTGCGCGAATACCCTTGCACACCATACTTCAGACCAGGAAGTCTGTTCGTCTCAAAGTAGATACAGTGAGCACACAGAGACCAGGGGATAAGCTGATAAGCTCTAAAACTCCTATGCTACACCTGAAATCTGGGAGTTGAAACTCAAAGCCTCAATTCCCCTGAGGCGCCCTTAACCCACTTGGGAGTTTCCGACTATCGGTGACCATTACAAAGTACCCTAAAAAGCAGGATCCTTATTAGAAGGACCCCAAAATAAGGTATCCCTAATTTTCGGAACCTCCCACTGCAAGCCTCTGACTTCCTGCGCCCACAGACGAGGTCCTCCTGAAAGGAGGCATTGAAAAGGACCCGCACTGCCGAGGAGCAGTTGGCGCTGCCCCGGTGGAATACCCGACAGTCCATGGCGACCTGAGGTGTCGGGTTTCGGGCCTTAGGGTAGGGGATGTTTTCCGGGTTCGGTGTTTTGGGGATAGACAGAGCAGATTAGGCTCTGGTTGAGGGTTTGGGGATCACGGGGAGTGCAACAAAAACCCTCAATTATGCGTTGTAAGTCTCCCCCTATGCGAATTTCGCTCCTTGATGTTGCATGTACTGTGTTTGTCTGCGTGTATGTGTGTGTGTGTATATATATATATATATATGGTACCCCCCCCCAAAGACCAAGGTTTCTATATGAGCTTTAGATACAAGCCTACTTACACTAGCCGATAGTCGTTGGTCTTTGGGGGGCAGGGTGCCAATAACAACCCTGTTAAGGTGTAGGGACAAACATGCATGACGCAACCCCCTTATGGTTTTCCTACAAGCCTGCATACAATAATCCTTATACCATTTCCTGTCGCACATTCCAGGAGGCCTATTGAATTCAATAGGCCCTATTGAATTCAATAGGCCTTCTGGATTGAAGATTGCAGATTGAAGATGCCCTCAAAAAGTTTCCGGGGCGATCTTCAATCTTCAATCCGGGAGGCCTATTGAGTTCAATAGGCCCTATTGAATTCAATAGGCCTTCTGGATTGAAGATTGAAGATTGAAGATGCCCTCAAAAAGTTTCCGGGGAGATCTTCAATCTTCAATCTTCAATCCGGGAGGCCTATTGAGTTCAATATGCCCTATTGAACTCAATAGGGTTTATCTTGAAATCGATCATGAGGGCCGTACGTGGAAGTGTGAAAATTGGGTTCAGGGGCCAAAGTCTACCGCTGCGTTTGCGTACTTTGGAGTACACGCATATGGGTTTTAAGGGCTATGAAGAGAAAGTCATCAACTAGACGTATGATACTACCTTTAAGCTTCCCTAAACGTATTCTTTTGATTTACGCCCAGCTTAATATCAGATAACACTACTAGTTTTATGCAACAAATGCAGTTGGCATACTAAGAATATAATCGAGGACTCAATCTATCGAACTGTATACTACTGAGGTATCAAAAGCACATACTTTAACGTCCATGTAGCTAGCAATCTATGCATGAATGTATATGTTCGATTCAATTATTGGAAAGACTACTAAATGCACCGTATTATTATAATACTTAGAACTGATTTGACAGAAGTAAATAAACACTCCGCCTAAATAGGTCCGAGGATCTGGCCTATCCAGCTGTTTGCGTACTTGTGAAAATAATTTTCTACAGCTATATGCTAAGCTACATCTTCATATAAGTATAACGTTGTCCCTACAGGCACTACTGTGAATATATTGCTTTCTGAGACCTAATCGGCAGATAACAAACCCTCTATGCTGTTTATATATGTAAAATCTGACGATTGTTAGCTCAGCATGCCCTATGCTTGAATTGATCCGAGGGTTGAATTCAATATACCCAATCATCTAATTACCAACATACAGAATAATCATGTTTCTGCAGTCAGTAATCCGTATAAGTATGTCATTATCCCTGGGTGTAGTGATATCATATGAAGCATTATAAATATAGTTTTCTGTCTGTTCGTGTTAACTGGCAAGGCACTTCATGAATAGCTTAGTTGTAGAGAGATTTCTTCAGGCTGTTTGGCTCCTATTCAAAAGTACAGCTTCCAAGGTTCTACTATACTGCTTCTATTAAGCAGCTATCTTGGTAAATCGCAACAACGAATCTCAAGCCATATTACTTGCAATTAGCAGTTAACAGACCCTGTAAATTCGATTGTATAACCAATTGCTGAGTACTTAACCTTATTTTTCCAAGAATGACATGGTGCATGCTTTATGGTAACACCGAGGTCTTATACTTAATAGGCATGTTTAAACTGTAAGACTATATGCTTGATGTCTCAAACATATAGTCTAAGAATACATGTCTTTGTAGGGCCACACCTGTAGTAATTAACAAACCCTGGAAGTTCAATTCTATATTCAGCTGGCAAATAGTTAACCTTTTCTTTGCGCATACAATAAATGGTACACACTAAACGATGGCATCGAGGTACTATGCTTGGTAGGTGGTTTTAAACGTTACAAGTAGCTTGATTTCTTAACACCAATAGTATAAGAATACATGTGTTTGTGGGGTTGACCACATACTACAACTGAAGCTAATAAAGCACATGGCATGGGGCGAGTTTTCCAAGCGTTTTGGTCGTGATCGCGCTTAGAATGGCTCTGGGCGAGAAACCAAAAACAATACCACCAAAAACAAAAAACACTACCAAAAACACATTATTTCAGTACTCTTCCAGAAGAGCATTAGAATTCTATACTAATGGGAGCACCCACCAATGTTCTTATCTGAAAACCTTAGTCTTTGGGGGGGGGGGTAGCATATATATATATATATATATCTGTGTGTGTGTGTTCGTGCACAGAAGTGGATTAACCGTTCTCAGTATGCCGCGCCTATCTCCCTTGTGGTCTAAGGGCTTGCTTTCTGTCCATCTGTTTGTGGCTCTGCGTGTGTGTGTGTGTGCGTGCAGATCCTGTTTAAACTTACCTTTGGTTAGTAGGGAATGGAAGAATGGTAGTAATTGTAGTTATAATTGTACCCATTCTTCCATCCCCTACTCACCAAAGGTAAGTAAAAAGGGCTTCACTTCGAGCTGACAGACTCCACACGGATATCGTAAGGTGCAATTGGCAAAGGACCATGGTCTGGCTGCTGCTCAAGCATGAGGGTATGAGGGTCCGGGTGGGCTGTGGGTCCACAGACGGCGTGTTGAGAGCCAAAAAAATAGTCTGCCAAAAGTCTCAGTAACACCCTGCAAAACCCACAAACAGAACATGGTGCAGGCACAGAAAACATAGAACCACAAACTGGAGATTCCAAGCAAGGCTTGCGGGCACAGGTCGTTGGTAACACCTTTGATTTGATTTCTTTTGAAAATCACAGCAGGGCTTGCGGGCAGAGGTCGTTGGTAACACCTTTGATTTTTTTGTGAAAATCACGGCAGGGCTTGCGGGCAAAGGTCGTAGGTAAGAACTTTGATTTGGAGGATGTTTGTTTTGCACGTATTGCGGGCCAAAATCGTCGGTAGCAACTGTATCTTTAGCATGTTTGTTTTGCCCGGGATTGCAAGCATGTTCTCTACATGAAATCTGAGTACGGCGGTACAGATTGAATTTGTGGCCAAAAACTCGATCAAAACATTTCTTCTGAGATGCCTCTCGCAACTGGCGGGCGAAGGTTTCTGATATGTGCTACGTGATTCATGAAAACTTTACCTTTTTGAGAGGGTTTGCTCCGTAGAAGAGTACGTGGGTATGTGTACGTACATGTGCATGCACGCATGTGTGTCTGTGCATATATGTCTGTGTAAATACGTATGTAAGTATGTGTATATACCTATACCCTCTTCTCAGGCGGAATATTACGCCTGTTCGTGTTCAGGCGCCTGAACAGGGTCGCGGGCGTTTTTTATGCCTGCGGGCGTTTTATCGGTTTAGGGGTGTTTTAGGGTTCTGCTAGTTTAGATACCTCGTATCTCGCGATCCGGATACCCCAAGTATTGTCGATATAATAGTCCAAACCTCACAACCCTTCTTGTCAACATCCCGCAAGATTCCTGCTGTGGGGACAAGGAAGGAACCGACGGCAGTGGGCTCAAAGCTCGATGCCGATGCCCTCATGTAGGGGTGATATTGCACCGGCTGCACAGGTGCGCCCTATCCCTCTGTGCGAGCTTTGACTTGCTGAATTCGAAAGTAATTGGTCGACGGTTTCTGTGCATCTGCTGCTTGAACGATGGCCGTCAGATGTGATCTTCACGAACATGTCTGGTGCAGCTGTTTGACTAGAAAGCCAAAGATAGACTTGTAGGAGGCCTTGTGAAGATATGGCCATGTTTGCGCTCATGAACGTCGTCCTGGTACAGGAGTACTCGCGTGAAGGCATACGGCTAGTGTACTGTACGTTCATGTTGCCGTCCTACTAGTCTTTGAATATCTGTGCCTTTTCAGGTTTGCTTCGCTTCCCTGACAAGTTCTGGTCGCAATGCCACGAGATTGTTTTCCTCACGCCTCCTGCAGAGGCACGCGGAAACCAAGCTAGGAGTGACACTTGTGCAGCTTATCGGTTGCAAGAGTCTGAGGATTATCTCACCAATAATGCTGGCTGGGTGCTGCTACAGAACTACCGTGGGAAGGGCATCGTCTATCATTTGGTTACACTGGCTGACAAGTATCAGAAGAGTGCTAGCCTGGGCCTCGCTTTGGGTTCATATGAGTTAACTTACATCTTCGATGGGCTTGCTTGCACGTCCGCCCAGGTCAGTCGAAGGTGGCAAGTCCTGACGGAGCATAGAGCTCGCGGCTGGGCATGCGATACTGCGATACTCGTGAAATCATGGCTGGACCTCTCTCATGAGTCGGGGGTAAACGAGCACGGGAGCTGCCAGTCGAGAAAACAATGGGGCATGCACATGCGCAAATTCCGAAAAACTGACCATCATTAGCTTGATCAGTCTGATAAAGTAGATTTGTTTGTCTCTGCGCAGGTGCATGGCCTGGCGACGGTTGCTGGTGGTCCTGCTGTTCTATCAGGTGCGCAGGCTTGTTTCGCTGGTTTCAGCTTGAAGTGCTCCTTGATTGATGGCTGAAAGTTATCATATATGTGGTTCTGTAAAAGACTTTTGTTCAAGTGCTGCTGGTGTTTCGGCGCCGTCGTAGCCATGGGGAAAGTGGAGCCGGCCCCTGCGAAGCCAGTAGAGAAGAAAGATCCTGAACAAGAGGATGAAGAAGAGCCTGAATTTAACCTCGACGGCTTGTTCGAAAGGCTAGCCAATGATGAGGTGGTGCGGGCACGTCTGCTTAAGGACGGTACCCTGTTCGGGTGGCCAGATGAAAAGACGGTGGGCATTATCAACTTCAAGACGATGGCGCAAAATGTCCGTGTACTAACACACCTGGTGGAAGTATGGTGTTCTCAGGTGAGCGAGCCCAAAACCATCTACGTGCCGCATGCCAGAGAAGAGGTCCAGTGCTGAGTAACATTAGGGTCCCAGGTTATGGCTCGCAGACCGTGTAGCATCATGAGCACCATGCACTCGTTAGGTGAACAAACTCCGCAACCATCTGTCGATGCCCGACAATCCGGTGCGTGTCAATTGCGATGCTGTGGTTCTCCGTGGGTTTATGACATACATCAGTCGTCGCCACGACGGGTCACGACGCCAGGTTGCTTATCTCGAAAAGACTTTAATTTGCTTGGCTCATACCTCATGCACGACATTGTTTTTGTGCTTCAGCCAAGATCGCATGCCTTCGCACGCTGTATGAGCTGGTCACCAAGTACTGGGCGCCGAAACAGAAAGCTTCTTCGGAGAGCCTTGAGAGTGATGACTGCGAGGTCATTAACGGAGTTTCGGAGTGTCCTTTGGAGGACGGTTATGAAGAGGTCGAGGGTGAGGAGCTGCTTGTTGCCGAGCAGCTGGGTGTTGTTCCTGCATCAAGCGATGTTGCAGACTTGTCACCGGCTTTGAAGTCAGGCTTGACTGACGATCTTAGCAAGTTGAGCTTGGAGAGCCCACACGTGTCGGTGAAGAGGCCAGCGCCGAGCAGCTCGAGCAAGGCCCCCGCTAAGCGCCCCAAGCGTGAGATCTTTGAAATCTCTGATTCCCCGTGTGCCACAAAAACTTCTGGACGCCCCCCTGTTGATCCAGCTCGTCTTGCCCGGGTGGAGTTCCTGAAGTAGCTCTGTTTGATATGGGTGCGCAGGTTTCGGTACTGTGTGAGCTTGTGTGAGACATGATTTCACGCAGTGCATAGCGACTTAGGCATGCGATCCAGAAACGGTCTGCTACAAAGGCGGTTGCGAGGCCGCTCCAGAGCAACTCGCTGCCTTCGGTGGATGATGTGGACACATGCCCTGCTAACTTATCTCCAATTGCTAAGAATCTGGAGAACAGATTTGCTTTGGTGGCTCGGGGCGATGATGAGATGGCCACTGAGAAGGTTCCAAAGGTTCCGGAGGAGAAGCCTGCCTTGGTGGCTTTGGACGGTGATGAGAGCCAAAAGGTTCCGAAGGAGGAGCCTGCTTTGGTGGCTGTGGACGGTGATGAGAGCCAAAAGGTTCCGAAGGAGGAGCCTGCTTTGGTGGCTACAGCTATGGCCTTTGATGAGAACAAGCAGGTTCCCAGCGAGGAGCCTGCAGCAGCGATCCCGACCAAAGCCGAGCGTCCGCCCGTGGCTCGGAGGGAAGATGATGTCTTCTTTGATGATACCGCGCTCAGCCGGAATGAGCAGATAGCGGCCAGGGACGCCTTGAAGCAGTGCGGTGGCGAAGACGCTGACGATGATGAAGATGAGGAAGGAGGGGATGACCAGCCAGTGTTGAAAAAACCAGCTGCCAAGGTGAAGCCGGCTGCAGCTCTCAAGGCAGCCATCTGCAAGGATCCGGAACAGGAGGAGGACGCTGCGGCCAAGCCCGTGGCCGAGGCCAAGTGCAAGGCCAAATCCAAATCCAAGGCGAAAGCCAAGGCAAAAGCGACGGCCGAGCACGATGGAGACGAGGCCCCGGCACCGAAGAGAAAGCCGGGTCGTCCCAAGAAGGGAGCCAAAGCCCCAGCAGAGGACGAGCTTGAGTCGAAGGAGCCGGCTGCGGCTCACGCTGTGGATGCTAAGGATGATCCGGCCCAAGCCGAAGATGCTCCGGCTGAGACGCCGGAGACGCCAGCAGAGCCCAACAAGAAGAAGAGGCGTGTGAAAGGGGAGGATGGCCAGAAGAAAACATTCGCATCACGCCCCATGCCGAAGGTTGATGTGTTTGCAATTCAGCGGTTCAAGGCAATCAGGGAGGCTTACGAGCTGCTGATTGCTCCCAAGCTTCGCTTCCGATCGTCTTTGGAGGAGTATGGTCTTAAGACAGTCCAAAATGAATCCGAAATTCTCTGGGACCTGAACAGATGTTTCTTTTTGAATGCTCTCTCTCTTTCACTTTCTCTCTCTCTCTCTCTCTCTCTCTCTCTCTCTCTCTCTCTCTCTCTCTCTCTCTCTCTCTCTCTCTCTCTCTCTCTCTCTCTCTCTTTCTGTGTCTAACTCTCTTTCTCAGGGGCATGTACTAGCACACCATAGGGTTTGTACTTGACTTCAGGTTTTAGTGAGTCGGGCTTCTGCATCGCGGCTTCATGAGAGGACCGCTTCTGGGGCCACACGATGGAGAGCCTCAGCGGCTTGAGCGATGCAACCAAGTTGAAGCGGATTTGCAACGCCTCTGCCGAGTCTTTTCTTGCTCTTGAAGACGTTCAAGGCCTCTTGGTTTAATGATGTTTAATAATAAAGCTTTTGATCTAGCGCACTTCGCTTGGCCAATCCTGTGGCTGCATCTGTGCCGACGTTGGGATTTACTGAGGATCTTTGAAGGCCTGATTTTATCCGGCTGCTATGCTCTTGCAAATTTGACAATTGGGGGACTCAGTGCCAGTCGTGGGGCTTCTGTAGGAGTAGACAGACTGGTGTGGATTCAAGATGGAAGCACTCTATCCAAAGCCAAGCTAAGAAAACACGCATCCCCACCAGTCCTAGATCTCTGCCTGCATCCTGTGGCAAGCAGCTTGCAACCGGTGAACCTGGCATAGTGCCGGGAGTCAATTTGTGCAACGAGTGCTACGTCTGAAGTGGCTTGTGCGAAGAAAATTAAGACTTCTGCCAGTCATGCGAACCACTCCTGATGTGAGCATCTGATATGTGCTGCGACTCCGAAATCGACTACATTGCTGATGTACCGTGAACAATTGTCAGGGATTGCAATCCACTTCGTGCCAGGTCATGAAGCGATGCGGGCCTGGTCGTACGCTCCATGCTCGCTATGGTCTTGGGCCTGAGTCAGACACGCGGGCTTCTTCGAGTGACCCTTGCGCGCGCTGTGCTATGCACTGGCAATCTCAAGCACTGCCATCCCAATATCGAGACTTCGCTACGACTCCTGCACAAAGCCTCTTCTGAAGATCAGTTCACTGTGCCAGGTTGAAAAACGCACGCTCTGCGCAGGGCTTTTGGCTGATAGGCGAGAGACCCCCTTCCAACCCAGCTCATAGCGTGACTTCATTATGTCATATGCCCCTTATAAGTCCCTCTAGTTAAGTTACATGTTTGATCACTTACACTTAATTTTGCTTGCCTGGCGAAAGTGTAGCTGCAATGGCGCCCAGCTCCGAATGGTCTGACCTGCATCCGAAGTATGAGTTTGTCATTAAGCGTTTGGCTTGGATGCAGGCACCGAAGGCAGGCCCAGTGCAGTAGCAAGTACGTCTTCATCTTCTGTGATTTAGTGTAAGATATCTCCATCCGGCTCCGCAAGGCTTTCATCCAGATAATGGTGCTCCTTGCATCGATGGATGTGGCGAGGCCTTGTGAACACTTCGAGGTTGTGGAAATGTTTGCTGGCTCTGCTCGTGTATCACGGTTGGCTAAAGGGTTGGGCAAGCATGCCGTGGCTTTGGACAAATCTATCGATGGGTCGATGGATCTGAACACCGATGCCGGGTTCCTGCTGCTAGCTTGCAAGTATCATACATACAGTAGCGCATCAAGCGTCACTCTGAAAGCATGGTATGTGTACTGAGGTTGCACTGCCTCGTGCTGATGCAAACCAAGATTTCAGGAGCGATATGTGTCGCCGGCCACCCCTGCAGTTCCTACGTGGCCACAAACAAAGGGACTTCGATGAGAACAGTTCTGACTCCGTTGGGGTATGCGGGCTACTTATCGGTCTACCGGGCTAACAAGTGCTTGGCCAGGATGGGCTTTCAAATCCCCGATCCCCATACAAGCCCCTAAGATAAGGACACGAGAAAGCCCCACCTGCTCCACAGGTTCATGCTCCTCGTGCTGCTCATGGTGGCTCTGGAAATCGTGCCTGTCATCGAGAACCCGGCTTCATCCCTAATAAATATGCATCCCCGGTTTGTCTGGGTGCGGAAAGCACTGCAACTATGTGGAATCCCAGCTTCTTGTTCAAAGGGACATTGGTTGAGCACTGTATGATTTCAGCACATCGTGAGACCATATCTAATTATATTGCCTAATACATGAACATACTTATAACCCTGTTTCACCCTGTACATCCTATAGGTAGAGAGTGCCTGGAATCTCGGACCTGTCATGGTTTATCTTTTCCAGGGGCTTTAAAGGGCTTGATTGCACGGGTTATATAATAATAGATTGGCTCAGGGGATAGAGCCTAAAGGGTTTAGGGGTTCAGGGATGGGTCAGGGATTTCGGGGTCTATGGGTTAAGGGTTCAGGGTCTGGAGGGAGTCACGATTCTGGAAGCCAAGGTTTACAGGCAAAGCTTTTGGATGAAGATCTACAATCACACCAACTACAAGCGTACCGTTTGCTGGAGCACATCACCTGCTTTGCGTGGGCTGTTCTTTGCTGGGCTGCCGAAGGGTTCCATTAACAAGAAGAAGGTAGTACGCAGGGGCATTAAGAATGGCAAAGAAGTTTGGACCGGCACAGCCTTGCTCAAAGGTACAGAGACCCTCTGCTGCAAAACGTCTGTCACCGGAACTGTGGCTGCGCGCACAACTTGTTTTGAGACCCAATGAAGCCCCTATGCTGCCTAGGTCTTATCCGCCTCGCTTTGCTGGCAAACTCCTCCGGATGCAGAAGGACTTGTTGGATCGGCGCCCGATCCTTCCGGAGGAGGTTGGCTGGTTCACTGCAAGTTCAGGGAATATGCGAGGGGTATATGTTTTTGGTTCTTACGTGTTTGCAAACTTAGTAAGGTAACTCACCACCGAAAGACCGACACGCTGATCGACCTCCTGAAGCGCCTTCCAGAAGATGAATGCAACGATGCCGAACTGTACTCAGTGTACGACTATGCTAGGTGCTCCAAACTCTTGAAAATGTCTCCTCAGCTGAAGGAGCTTTTGAGCCTTAGCTAGGTCGCCTAGTCAGCTGCCCCGAATTCAAGTCGTGTTTTCTGGACATGAACCATGCCATATGCATCGAGGAAGAGCACCGCTACAGTTGCTCAGTTGTGTAATTTAAGGGCAATTCCTGGTTTCTGTAGCGATTTTCGGACGATTTGCATGGTCTTTGTTGTTTTAGCTCTGTTACTTGTGATTTAAGCAAAAAAGCTCAGGCGTAATTAGGCGTACTTCAGGCGTTTTCTCGCGTACTTCAGGCGTTTTACCCCGTACGCCTATTTTTGTGCACACCGGTCTGTGTGCTGCATGACTAAAAAGTGATCATTGCTGCGGCTGTCAGGGACGTGTTTAGGCTAGCCTGGGGAATTTAGCAGGAAGCATGTCGCTTCGGAGCAACATGTGGTCGTCGGCTACTCTAGAGCATGGGGCCTGCCTTGCACGTGCAGCAACCCTATCGCTGGAAGCCGATCCAGAACTCATGGCCATGAAAGAAGAGCTTATCGTTCTTCGGTTTGCAATTATGCACCCTGCCTGGCCTTTGCTACGGTGGGACAACAATGACAGAGAGACAGAGAACGAGATATAGAACCAAGTAGGGGGGAAGAGAGGGCTGCGAAGGACAACAAACCAAGGAATTTCGGATTGTTTCTTTTAGTTGTTCTGAAACATCCCGAGTTGAAGCTATTAATGTATATCAGCAACACAGCCTATAGAGACCTTTCCCAATCAAGTCGCCCAAACGACCTTGGTCTAAGCCGTAGTACTGGAAGCAAACCAACTTGGGAGCAGCCCGCGCAAATGCTTGAACCCTTATAAACCCTACTTGGAGGGGCAGGGGACTTAGTAAGTCGTTTATAAGTAGGGTTATAACTGGGTTAATTCCATTTAGGATACTTATAACTCTACTTTTAACCTGCTTGCTAAGTCCCCTGCCCCTCCAAGTTAACCCTACACCCTAAACCCACTCCCGCATCTCACCCCATTACAACCAAATCAAACCCAGGATGCCCGGGTTCTAACTGGATTTGAACGAAAAACTCGCCAGAGAGTTCAAGAGCGTAAGCAAACAGCCCCCACCAGAAGCGAGCATCATGAGCATCAGCCGGGTCCTGCCGGCCCCAGGCGCAAAGCATCATGAGCATCAGCCGGTTTTGGGGCCTAGGAAAACGGGCGCGGACACCGGGGAACAAAGTACGGTCACCGGGGAACTTTAGAGGTGTTGTCACATTGAACGAAGGTTGGCGAGCATCCCTCGACTTGCGAGAGAGAGAGAGAGAGAGAGAGAGAGAGAGAGAGAGAGAGAGATTGAGAGAGGGACAGAGATAAAGAGAGAGGGAGAGAGATATATATGATAAATCAGAGAAAGCGGAAAAGAGGGGGAGAGAGGCAACGCTTTTTGGCTCAATTACTCTTTTTGGCTCAACGGCTTTCATTTCGGCTCAAGTAGTATAACATGTTCGGCTCAAACGCGTTCAGTTGTATGGAGAGAGTGTCTTTGCGCAGAAAGACGGATATGGTGACAGCAAGCGAAGTGTTCTAATTGAAACGCGAGAAGAAGCTAAGGCTTTGAAGGAGGAGATCTCCAGCGCGGAAGGGCCCGTGGCTGATGCTGTCCTAGAAAGCATCAATGATGATGAGTACAAGTTCCTGATGCAAACCCTGAAGGACCGAACCTTAGGAAGACTTGCTTTCGTCGGAACCAGTAAACTATTCTCTCGATCAAAACCAGCCAGCATATTATCTCTGTTAAAACCAGAGCTGCATCAGGTAAAGGCTGAGGTCAAGAAGGAGCCCGAAGTCGAGGCCGAGGGCCTGGCGCCGGCTGTGGCACCAGTCGCTTCTTTGCCACCTCCGGAAGAGCTGGCAGGAAATCTTGGATGTGAGCAAACTCAGGAAACTTTGCTCGAGGAGCCTCTTCAAGACACGCTAGTGAATACTCCTAGCCCTGCCAAGGATGCTTACTTTGGGGCTAACAGTCCGGAGCCTGTGCCCGAGGATGAAACACCCCGAACCCAAAAGCCGCCATCTAGCGAGGCCCCAAGTTCAGTTGCTTCGAGGGCTTCAGATTCCTCGACAGGCTTCCCAAGCCATGTGCCAGAGCCGGCTAGAAGGGACCCAAAGAAAACTACACAAGATCAGCATGATCTTGATGAGGCTCCGAAGTCGATGCCTTTCGACTTTGCTCCCCCCACACAGGCGGCTATCAATGCCCGGCTTCGTAGGATCTTCAAAGCTCGCGCGAACGGGGACTACCAGGTGGATGCCGAATTCTTAAAAATGTACAAGGACAAGAACGCTGGAGGACAGGCAAAGATCTACAAGCTCTTCGAGCGCACAGGATTCAATCCAGTGCTTTCGCTTAAAATTAGAAGTATAGTCATTACATCATTTCGTAAGTTAGTTTAGATTTCTGACTTAGGATCTGTTTCACATGACTTCTTCCACTTCTTAAAAACTTATGTTTTGCTGATAACACTGATAACACATTTGCTATCGGTCACCTCGGACATATACGTGTGTTCTAGGGTGTATTGTACTTATAAGAGGACCCCTCTATATAGTCTCTTATACGAACTACGTGAAACTCGTTAGAATCTCGACCGGACTATAAAGTTATCTTGATTAAATACCTCGCCCAAGACCTGCCCTAGACCAGGTGACTTTCGTGAAGCATTGCAAGAAGGTCACGCAAGAGCTGTCCGAGGAGTCACTCACCGTGGAAGGAGAGTTCATGTCCGAAGAAGACATGGACCAGGAAAACTTCAGTGCGTGGCTAGGATTATATCTCGTGGTTGCAAGCCTGCCCAGATTGTAGTTAACCCCAATATCCCCCGCCCAGGATCCGCAAGGCCGGAATCAAACGCTACTGCCAGAAATTCCCGCATCTATGCAGGCAGGCCTGTGCAGCCTAGCTTATATAGTACCAGATCACAGCTACTGTGCAGGGAAAGCAAATATGGAGACGGGACTCTCTACTGGGTGGACAAGAAAATTAAGGGTCATTTGACGCTTCTTGGCTTATATATATTCCACGCAGCTCCTACTCCTGATATGCATTATGTAGGTGTACCCCTGCCATTGGACATCCCAGGAAATCCAAGCGGACTTTGGTGGAGAAGGCCATGGAGTTTGAGGAGGACACCGACAATGAGATGGATGCACCGGACCGGGCTTGTTCGTGGGGCATGCTGCAAAACGATGGTTTCTCTAAGGCAATTAGATCGCACACTGCCCAACAACCCAAAGCCTTAATTCCTTAAACCTCAAAAAAACCATGTCTGCCAAGGGCCTGGCATCTTGGACGTGGATGGCTTGTCAGATGGACCTGATGAGAACCAGCCGGGTGAAGTGAATGCAGAGTATCTTAGCAAGAGTGGGTGGCCGGAGATGGAGAAGGACATGCAGCCATCAGCACTTCTACCGGGTGCAATGAAATGTGTGCAACGCCATACGAAGAAGCTTGAAGCTCTCGAACCGAACTATGCCGTGGAGAACTTGACCAAAGTACAAAGGGAGTTCCAACCTCAGCTGAACCCACCTAGGGCCTTCTACCATACACAAAGACCCAACCCTGAATAAACACGAGTGTTCTTACACTACAGTTGTTCTTCTACCCGAATATTACTATCAATATTGCCTTAATCTCGAAACCCTAACCCTAAATACTCCCAGTTTGAAGAGCAATGTGGCGAAGATGATTGCAGAGCTCACGCAGGCGGAGGAGGAAATGTGCAAGATGCACGAGAAGGGCATCTGTGATGGTTTCTCTAGAAAGTGCCTCCATAGCAGAATTGCCAATGGCAATACTTGTTGCTGTGCCTACCATGTCGATCGTGCTCTCCATTGCAGTCAGTTTCTCCCACTTAGGGCCCAGAAAGACGTCGCTGAGAAGCTCGACGCCACCAAGAGGAAGTTATAGCCCAAGTTTCCATCCCCAAAGCCACTAGTAAGCCTTGCTATGGCTACACCTAGGATTGTGGAATCTATGTGCCTTCACGACCGCGCGAGGCCGCGAATTTTCGAAACCGATCCGTTCCCACACGATGTCAAAACACCCGCCATGCCAGGACCTACGCCCCCAAGGTTGCCAGGAGCCCTGCTGAGTCGCGGCCAAGGGCAGCGCCAAAGGGGAAACCTCGAGCACGCCAGGCTTCTGCTACGCCTAAGGCGACCCCCAAGCGTCAGCGCAAGTAGGTTTTGTTGATCCTCTGGCCGCAGCAAGCCGTGCCATTATGTGCAAATAGTTATATACCTTCTAATGAACAAGACTTCGGGAGGATCTTCTGAAATTCGATTTGATTGAAAATTCAGTCTAGAGTGTCATGTTGTTTAGCAACGTGGCCAGCATGCCGATCTTCTGGCACCACAGCTTCGGGCACTTCGCTGAAAAAACAGTCTCAACCACTTCGTCTTTGCATCTACGCATCCTGCTGTCATATCCTGAGCCTTGATTGCTTATACTATACAGTGCCCCAACCAAAGCCAGGTACCGGGAAAGATGTTCAACAAAATCTTCTTCCTCACTTGGCTGAGACGATGGGAGATGGTGTCTTATCCTAAGATACCTACCCTGACGCGCGCAGAATCGCGAAACGATACCCAACTCGATTTTGAAACCTCTTTGCTCAGGCTCCTGCTGTCGCAGTGGTTCGTTGCCTGGCAGCGGCCAGGTGCGAGGTGCCGTCGGAAACCCAAGAGAACAATGCGCAACGGTTCACAGAGAACCTGTTTGATGGAAGCGAGCTTTCACTTCCGGTTCCTATTGAGCGACTGGATCATTCTGTTACGGGTGGTAAGCAAACGACAATCTCAACCTTTCACGTCAAGCCTCAAAGTTGGGTGAAGTACCTCATGACCGAGGAGCCTGAAGTGCTGGTAGGTATGACTGGTGACTTCAAGACGAACAACGAAGCGTTTTGGACAGCCTACCGACTTCAGCATGCCACACATGCAGTGTTTGCAAAGCACGATGGAAGATTGGGAGATGTTCTTCCAGTCTTCATACATGGGGATGAGGGACGGGGGAAAAAGAAAACGGGGTACCTCGTCTTCAGCTTCGAATCCCCCTTCGGCAGCACGGAGCGCAAGGTGAAGCAATGCAATTGTGCAGCATATCTGTCGAGTCGCCCAGATCTACCTGCGTACGGTGTTTGTAATACGACTTTGATCCCGGCTCATCTTCTGGCCGCTTGCCGAAGCATGTATACCAACTATCGTGGTCACTCTTTTCTCTCGCGACATCTTCTGTTTGGTATCGGCAAGACAACCTATAAGCCCAATCCTCACATTGTCGCAACACTATTAGAACAGATGGCTGATGGTTTCCGTGAGCTATTTGAAGAAGGTGTTGTTATCGGACATCGCAAGATATTTGCTGCAGTTGTTGCCGTCAAAGGCGATGCAGATTTCCATACCATCTTTTTTGCTCTGGAAAGGTGTTACAACAAAGTGGTCGCAAACCGGTCTATGGGGTATATATGCCACCTGTGCAACGCCGCTGCAGGAACCCTGAATCCGAGCCTGGATTGCTCGCCGTTCGAGGACTTTTCAGATGAGCCTCAGTGGCAACGGGGGATGTATCGCTCACGCCCCTGGTCTTCGCAGCCTATCCTGGCAAGTATCCCCTACGATCAACAGGGAGCCCAGGAACGCATGATAGTCCCGGACCCGTTTCACGTTGTGAAGATAGGACTGGGGCGTGACCTAGCAGGGTCGATTATCGTACTTTTGTGCAGAAAAGGGTTCTTTGATCATGAGGAGTCCTCAAAGAACTTGCCGGACAGGCTGGAGCGTGCACACAGCAACTTTGTAATGTATTGCATGGCTAGCAATGAAAGACCAGCCCTGCGCGGTTTCACCAAACAGTTCTTCCATCTCAAGAACCAGCTGTCATCCCCCTACACCAACTCCAAAGGTAGTGACACCATGAGCTTATGCAGGTGGTTACGATGGTTTGTGTCGCTTAACTTGCTTCCCTGCAATGCCACCGTGGAGGGGTATGACGGCATTCTCCGAATTATGCTGCAGTGTCTTGACTCGATTCTTGCAATTTTCAGGTTGATGCATTCTCACAAGCTCTTTTTAGAGCGAAGCTGTGCCACTCGTCTGTATATCCTCATCATGCGCTTTTTACGAGGATACAAAGTCTTGGGTGTCAAAAGCATTGGCTTGAGTGTAAGGGCCTTTGCTTTAAAACCGAAGGCACACGCACTACATCATACAGCCAAGTCTTTGAAGTCGCAACTGGAGTCCGGCTTAGCAATCATACTCAACCCGGAATGCCATGGCTGTGAACCCAACGAAGATTACATAGGCCGAGTCTCGCGGCTCAGTAGGAAAGTGGGCACTCCAGTTGTAGACTTACGTGTGATCCAGCGTGTGTTTTTAAAAACACGTGCACTCCACCGCCGGCGAAAGAGTAAGCGCGTCTAGATTTAGAGTCCTATCTTGAACCCTTAGTATATTTCCAGCCTGACAATGCACCCAGAAAGATTCCAGAATTATACAGAAAATACACGACGAAGTCACCCTAGAGCAAGCCGCTTACCGCCTGTGTTGAAGCTTGAACCCTGCGAAGCAGAGTCTCTGGCCAGTGCAACGATCGCCGAGACGAGGGCAGCATGGCAAAGGATTGTGGGGAAGCTTGGATTGGGGATAGGTTTAGAAGGAAGGGTCAGGAGGTTTAGAGGGGGTTGTCAGGTCAATGCTTCCCGGAATGCGCATGTTACCGCAAATGCCACCTTGAAGTCACGCTTTAGTCAAGATGCCAACGTTCTATATGATTTTGAAGCTCGATAACTTTCGAATCTTTCAACACAATGGGTCTTGTCAAGTTCTATGTCTTTAGAGCAAACAGGCTCAGGCGTAATTTTCAGGCCCAGGCGTAATTTATCAACTCAGGCTGAAAATCAGCCTGAACCCATTCAGGCTGAATATTGCGCCCGACGAGGGCCTAGGTATATATATATATATATATATATGTATATGTATATGTATATACACGTCGCTGGGGCAAGATCAGACCAGACATAGATCTCCCGACCGTCGTCGCCTCAGAGTGAAGCCTCTGAAGGGCCTTAGTGGTTAGTGGGTTGTTGTTTGTATGGTTATTGCGTTTTATGACAAGTGTTAAAGAGAGGATCGGGTTTTTCAGTCTTGTGTTTATAGAAATATAGATCCTATATGGTTTTAAGCGGGGAGCAAGGAACCAGTAGGTGTTGATCGGGTCTAGAATGGGTTTAAAGCATCTAAGCAAGGGAAGAAGAGTTCTAGTCAGGTTAGAGGTAAACGTCCTAAACAACCCCCACCCTAGGTGTTATCGGGTGTAGTACGGGTTTAGAGCAGCTAAATAAGGGAAGAAGAGTCCTAGCCAGATTACAGCTAATAGTCCCAGACAGCCCCCTCCCCAGCCTCCTTCCTCCCCCCCTGCCCCCCCCCCGCCCACGTCTCGTTCAGGCAGGATGTCAGGTTCCATAATCGACTCCTTCGTGCGGGACCTCCCGTGCGCCGGGATGGCGCCAGGACAAAGATCAAGTCTGCGCCGGGATGGCTGCAGGCTGAAGACCCCGCTAATGCACCGGGATGGTGCTGGGGCACACCCTTAGCGCACCGGGATGGTGCCGGGTGTCAAAGACCTCGTAGTGCGCCGGGATGGCGCCGAGGCCGACCCACAGCGCACCGGGATGGTGCCGGGTCGAGAACGACCCCTTAAGAGCACCGGGAGGGTGCCGGGGCGGGCCCTCAGTGCACCGGGAGGGTGCCGGGTTCTAAAGACCTGAGATGAGTGCGCCGGGAGGCGCCAAGGCCGACCCTTAGTGCACCGGGACGGTGCCGGGTGGCGACGACGCTGCGGAGAGCAGCTGTGAGGGCGACGACGACGAGACGACGACCCGGACGACGACCAAGACGATGACAGCGACGACGACAGTCAATTTGTCTGAGGAGACAGACGAGGTCGGGAACATTTTGACATGTGCACGTAGACAATAGACGTCATCCTAACCGGTGCCATAGGAGCGAGGTAGTGTTCACTTATACCGGCAACATATCAAACGCAGTGCTTATGACCCTCAAAGTTTGCGACTCCTAATTAATCGCTTCTACGAAGATGGTCACCGCTACCATTATACTATGATTTCTACTTCTTGTACTGCTTGGGGTGCTTCTACTACTGCTGCTATGTCTACTACCGGTATTGCTACTGCTGCTGCTGCTACTGTTACTGCTACTCCTCGTCTTCGTTCTCGTACTCGTTCGACCTTTCTATCTCTCCGCAGAATTCGGTATTTTGATTAGGACGTGTGCACAGAAGGTATCTGGAGCCGACGAGTAGAAGTGGTAGTCGCAGGAGTATTCACAAGAATTCATATTCATATTATTCGCAGAACACTAGAGGAGGAGTGGTAGTGGTAGTGGTAGTGGTAGTGGTAGTGGTAGTGGTAGTAGTAGTAGTAGTAGTAGTAGTAGTAGTAGTAGTAGTAGTAGTAGTAGTAGTAGTAGTAGTAGTAGCCCTGCACGAGCAGGCCCGGGGCCAGCCTGCATGGATCTTTGGCAGGCTCACCTCAAGGGTTTGTGATGCCAAGTTTGTGGGGGTTACACATTGCAGATGCTTGCGGAGAGCCGATGCACGTCAGTCTTTTGTGGCACAGGGAAGCTCCGAGCTACGCAGTGCAGTCGCCACCGTCCTCGTAGCGTTCCCTTGGCTAGCAGCATAGAAACAAGCAGAAACGAGTGAGTAACGGAGTTCCTGCATTCTGCCAGGTCTGCCAGGCAGCAAAAATCCCCATCTGATGAGGCCACCTCAGTGGGGACCATGTGCTCGACTGGGTCTTGCCCTAGGTTGGAAGAAGAACATAGACCAGCGCAGACAAGCTGCATTGGCTCAGCATGTCGTCGTATAGCATTAGCCTTCTTCTTCGTCATCCCTTGGCTAGAGGCAGGCGACACATAGCAAGGCTTCAGGACTAGAAGTGGAGCTCATGCGTTCTGCCAGGGAGCGACGCCGACTGCTCAGGAGAGGCCAGCTCTGTGGGGACCATGGGCGGAGAGTCTTCCTGCAGAGTCGCCCAGCATGAGATCAGACAAAACGCACTAAATTATCAGAGAGACAGAGAGCGATGTCCTGATCATGTGCCCGCGCCGGTGAAGTCGGCGCACAGCCGATCGCCAACTCCTGTGCGGTTGGTTCAGGCAGAAGCGGCCCAAACCCAAACCCTTGATTGGAAGAGAAGCAGAAAGCCAACTCCCCAAACCCAAACTTCAAATGCTGGACCCACCCCTAACCCCGCTTCCTCTTTCAGGAGTGCCAGCTCCGCCGTGGCATCCTTCAGCTGGGTGCTCAGAGCCTGGTTCTGGACCTGCCATTAAGCGAGGGTTGGCGCTTTATGATTTATAAGCATATAGAACCTGAAACTATAACATCATGCGTCCAGTATCATGCCGGCCTTCAAATCCACCGAATCCTGGATAGCAACGTCCAGCTTGATGTGCAGATCCTTTTGGTTGTCCTCCATTGTCTTCCACATCTGACGCTCGCTGTCGACCTGCTTCTTGTAGCTCTGGAGCTCTGCCTGTTGTAGCCAACCCTAAAACCTAAACCCCTAACAGAGCAGGTTGCACGGCCTTCGCTAAGGCCTTCTGCACTCTTTCCGCTGCGAGTTGCTCCTGTCGGCATGCATGGTCGGGATGAATGAATGTTTCCACCAAGCGGCAGCACGGTCCTGGAGCTTCTCCACCGACGCCTTCTCCAGCCCGAGCTGGCTCTCCAAAGCCTGGTTCGCCTTCTTGTTGTCAGCCTGCTCCTGTAAAGGAATTCGCTGAATCATGGCTGAATGAAGCTAGCTCCATGCTCCGTCCTCCAGGGCGAGATGCACCATGCGCTGCTGCTTCTCGGCATCTTCGAGCCTAGCGATCTTGTTTGGACAAATTCCGACACCTCAAGGCGAAACCCCAAACCTGACCGGACACGTCGAGCCTCGCCATCTGGATGTCGCCCACCCTTCGCAGCATCTGGAGTTCCATGGCATCCTTTGCCATCTTCGTCTCTGCGGAAGCAAGCTGCTTCTTCACTTCGGCCAGTTCGGCCTGCCAAATCAGATGTACAGTCGAACCCAGCAACAAGGCACAAAGCCCTTCCCCCCCAGCCTGTGCTGTGTCGCGTTCCTGTTCGCGAAGAGTCCCCATTACGACGGCCGAAGCCTGGAGTGCCTGACGGGGCGGATATTTTGCGGGGAAGTTTTGGGGTTTCGGGTCAAAGAAGAGGGACCCTGAAAGGGTGTAAGATTACAACACGGCCCCGAGTATGTTTTAAGATTATGACGAAAGGGCCCTGCCTGCAGATTACCTATGGCGACATCTTTCGCCGCAAGCTTGTCCACGAACTTCTTCGTCACGCGCTCGCGCGCGACGGAACTCATGTTCCCCTTCTTGCGGCGGTTCTCGTCTTTGCCGCGCTTTTTTTTCTTTGCCGGGGCCGCGGCTGCGGCTGTGCCCTGCGGGGGTACCCAGCTCGTATGCCCCGTGGAGGAGTTCCAGTAGTAGGCCCGGCCACTGGCAGCATCGATGACCTGCTCCCATTCCGCAGGAAGTGGCACTGCCGCCGGACCTCCAGTGCGGCCACCACTGCCGCTGGGAGCCGTGGCAGCCGGTGTGGCTGCCGTACCACTGTGGCCACCTTTGCCACCACTTGTAGCTGGCGGTGCGGGCGCCGGACTTCCACTCCCCCCACCACTGCCACCCCACGTCGCGGCAGCTTGCCCATATCTGCTCCAATCCCAGCCACTCCACGAGGAGCCCCAGGCTGAGGAGGGCCACGCCATTGTCCACAAGTCCGCTGGGCGGGTCTAGAGCAATTAAGCCTACGCATGTAGTGGCGCCTGCCATTTGTCCTACCTTTCAACTCCCTGGAAACTGTCTGACACCGACACGCGGTTAGAAGTTACAGAAGATTATGGATTGCTGTGTTCGACAAAGCTGCTGGGTGCAGTGTTCCCGAAACTTAGGGGTGCTTAGATTAATTTCTAATCTTTGGTTACTATCATCCCTATAAGACGAAACAGCTAAAAGTATAGTTAGGGGTCTAAGCTCGCCATAGCTAAATGTTGACGAGAAACACGAATGTGGAACATGACATCAGTGCATGTCTATGCTGAGAGCATTCGCACGCACGGACATGCGTGTTTCATCATGCTCATGCCATGTCGACACTGCAAGCACAAAAGTGTTTGGTACGCTTGCTGTTCCTGGACTCAATGACCACTCAGGCTCGTGCTCCTGGATGCCGTCCGGCTTTTGCTGTCAGGCCAGCCCTGCAATGGGAGTTCAGTGCTCATGGATGCAGATTTCACATGCTTCCGGAGTCGGGTTATGGGGACGAAGCGACCGGTCTCGAAATCTTAAGTTTGTGAGACGCTGGGCCTTGTTTTCGAGACACTGGTGCGGCAACCATAGCATGGGGGACCTCCAAAAGCTAGACTGTCAGTGCAAAACAAACCAGCTCGCTAGCAGAAATGAAGTGACAGCTTCGACCTTAACTTAGGCAGTCTCACTTGCAGCCATGGTCAAAGGAAGAAAGGAGACGGCTGTGATCTATTCTAGGGTGTCTACCAAGGCCAACCAACACGGCGCTAGTGTCACGCGGCAGCAACAGGCCTGCAAGGAGGTGTGCAGCCGCAATCGATGGGACATCGTGCACAATGTGGCCGAAGTCGTCAGCGGTTCACTGCCTAAGGATCAACGACATGTCTTTTGCAATCTCCTACGGACCTGCAAGGAGAAAGGGATCAAGAACGTTGTTGTGGAGGGCTCTCGCACTGTATCCCGCACTGCAAAAACAGCAGAAGAGTTCTACGACCTGTGCAAGGAGGCAGGGATCAAAATCACTGCGGCAGACATTCCAATGCTCTTCGACGACAGCACGGGCAACCCCGCACAGCGCTTCATGAGACACGTGCTGTTCGGCTACGTTCAGCTGGAGCGGGACATGCTCGTACATCGCCTGCAGGATGGCTTGGCACGCAAGAAGCGAAAAGCCGAGGAAGCTCGCAAGAAGGGCCATCAGCTTCCAAGATCACAGCAAGGCACAGTCAAGGTTAACGGCAGACGATCTATCCTAGAAACCAAGCAGCTGAGCAAGAGGCAGATTGAGCAGAAGCTGGGAGGCCTCTTTCACCAGTACGACAATGGCCGGCTCAGCGTCCGGGACCTGGCGAAAAAGATTTCGGATCGACTGGGATGCAAGAAGACTATCTCTCACGAGACAGCCCGTCGCATGTTCCATGCACATGCGGAGTGAATGTTTCAATATCTATGGCCTGCTAAAATCTGCAAATCAGACTGCTGCTGAAGTCCCTGTGCGGCCTGGGCGTGGGCTTCGCCAGAGAGCGCCTGCCACCATCCTGGCCCCGCTGTGTAGCTGTTAATGCTGCTAATGTAAGGCTTTCCGTCGTTGAGAAAAAAAAGGGGGCGGACTTTCAGATGAGCTATCTAGGACCCGACCTGTACACAAATCCGGAACTCTCGCGAACTTTGTTTTTCTGCACAGCAGAACGATCAGAAACCTCAAGCACTCCAGCTTCTGTAGAGATTCCCCCTTGCTGAGGCTCCTTGAGAGCTAGGTCAGTGCAAACTGACGAGACCGGCTGCTTCCAGGGCCGCTTGCATGACTCTGGCTAACAGAGGTACTGGTATTGCGTTGCCTGCAATCTGCCGTAGCTGCCGCTGAGTAATGACACCCTCGGGAAGCATGTCGTAGTCCACTCCCTGCAGCCGGCAAATTTCTGCCGTCGAGGTCCTGCGCTGACGCCAGCTGAGCCAAAAGCCTCCGGCGGCAGCTCTGCTGCGAGTGAGGCACGGGCAGTAGTTCTCGTTGTAGTGCGCCTGGGAACCGTCCACGTTCATGACTAGCTGCACCTCCAGGGGATCACGCCCTCCGAGCAGGACTTTCTCGAAGATGTCCCTGGTGTTTCGTTTCGCGGTTGCTGTGCCAGGCATTCGTCCCGGAAATGGAAGGAGTCCTGCACCAGCGTCGTCGTCGATGAAGTCCGACAGAGGTTGCGCTGGCACCTGCAGGCGGATACCCAAGGGCGGGAAAGGGATCTAAGAAGGGGCAAGTCAGGCTTGGGCGACCCTGCCTCACCCGGCCAGCACATCTGTTGCACTGCAAACTGTGCACGGATGGCAACGATGAACAGACGCCCTCTGTTTTGCGGAATAAAGCCATGTGTTCTGCAGTTCAAAGCTTGCCACGACACTTGGTACTCGGCCTGTCCTGCTTGTCCCTGAAAACTACGCAGAACCTCGATGATCAGAGAGAGAACTTCCGGGTGGCGTTTCGCCAGCGAGTCTACCTGCTCCAAAATCACAACCTTTGGCTTCCGCAGCTCGATCCAGCGCAGGATGGGGAAGATGAGGAGTCCATCGTCATCATCGAAGCCGTGGCCCAAGCCGGCTTGGGACCATGGTCCACATGGTGCTCCGGCCACGAACACGTCCACAGTGGGTGCGGACATGAAGTCACGAAATGCATCCTCGAAGAAGTAGATGTGATCGTGAGTAGCTGCGGTCAGCAGGGATGCAGGGCCCCAAGACTCGCACGCAAAGACTTCTCGAGCATGCAGCTCCAATAGCTGCGCTGCGAAGACTTCACTGCACCAACCGGAGCAGCACGAACCTATAGTAATCCGAGAGGTTCGGCATGCCGGCAAGCTTGCGGGAATCTCCCAGCAGCCACTCTCAAGCATTTCCCGCCACAATTCAGGTGCGGTGGTGCCCTTGTCTGCATGGCTTTTGAGCACCCTCTTGAGCACTTTCTTTCGGCAGACCATGGCGCAGCCAAGCCACAGGCTAGAAGACTAAGAAATCCTGCAACAGTAACAGCGACAAGGATCCACTGCAATTATCTCCGCCTGTGAGACTCGTAGGGGCCGTGTCGGTTCACAAGCAAACCAACGATGGACCTACACTGCCAAACATGATGCTCAGCAGTGCCATGCACCAAGAAAGCATGGAAGCGTCCCGAGCCCAGGATCCGGACCTTGATGGGTGGCAGCTCCAGCAGACCGTTGAAACCTGACGCTCGTTTCCGGATTTTTTTTGGTTGTGTATCCACTTCTGCTGCTAGAGCATCAGACGCACGTGGGACATGCTGATCCATGCGAAGCTGAAAGAATCTGTGTCCGCGGCAGGAAGCCTGCTGAAGAGCTGCAGCGGGAGCCTGCGAATTAATCTCAGATTCCGTGCTCTAGAAACAGCATTTGCAGAGAACTTTCTGAAGCGAAGTAGCCACATGATCTCTAGTTGTTTTCGTCGTCCGATGCTACTCAGTGCAGTGCTGCGCAATGTCAAGGCAATGGCAAGCAGGCCTGGGGCACGCTCTGTACTGCAGGTTTGGCTGCCAGGGACCCCAGCGACTGCCGGGCTTCTCTGTTTTACATATACACTCTTTCTGTCAGTCTGCGGGGCCCTGACAAAGATCGTGCGCTGCGTGTAGCGCAATGAATGCTGCATCAGCGTGCCTCCCGTGCCCGGGATCAAAAACATTGTCTGTCTGCATAGTGACAAACTTGCGGATACTAGCGGACGGGAGCTCTCCTTACATGATATAGACCACGAGGTGAGTTCTAGTTGCTTGCGCAAGACTACACTGCTGCGGTCGGGAGAGCCCACGCTCAGCTGGGTGATCAAGCAGCCGCCTCGTCGCCCTCATCCTCACTCTCGAAAAGATTCTTCTCCTCACCCTGAGCGTTCTCAGCCCTGAGTTTCTTGATCTTGTCCATAATTTTGTTGGCCAACTGCCCCTTGAGCTTCCGCTTGGTCACACGCTTTGGCGATCCCCCCGCAGTTTCGGACTCCCCCTTCTCCTGGCCACGACCTCGACCTTGCCCACGACCGCCCCTTGCAGAGCGTCCGCCACGGCCGCCCCGGCCACCGCGCCCTCGGCCTCGACCAGGCTTCGATGCATCTGGCTCCTCGATGCTAGGTGCCGGCTGCTGTGGCTTAAGCTTGTCCAACTTCTTGGCCCTCAGTACAAGACAGACTGGCCACCCAAATGGGAGGCGCCAACCCTGCTACGTGCCCTAACCTGACCCAACATTCTGGATGCCTGCAGAGTCACAACTTCGCGTCATGAAGCGGGCTCTTGGGGTCTGTCATCTCCTGCACTGTCAGCTCCACGAGCCTGGCGTGCAGCAGCTGGGCGTGGTCAGCATTGAAGACCACGGAGACGCACGGGATATTGCTCAGCAGGCACTCCATGGGCATGGCACCGTCAACTTCGGCGAGGTTGAGGACCATGCCCGCTTGCAGCGAGAAGAGCAGTTCCGCCAAAAGCTTCCGCGGAGAGCCCCAGAAGGTCGCGGGCTCCTTGCCATCAGTGAAAACAGGTCTGTCTTCCTGGGGACCCGGGCCGCCCGCCAGGGACTTTCCTTGCTTCCCATACAGCTTCTTCTTGCTCTCCGCACTGAGACGCCATGTTGCGGCACTGCCGTAGGTGTCCAACACCACAGGTCCTATCAATGTGCCGGAGGTCTTCCCGTCGTAGAAGCGCCGGTTGCGGGACTCGACTGTGAGCGTGTCCCGCGTGTAGATGTGGAGGCCCTCGACCTGGTTGATGATTCCACGGGACATACTCTTCCTGGCAATGATGGAATTGTAGTCGTAGGAGATGTGCTGCAGGCACCGGCTTTTGGTGAGGTAGTCCCCGTCCGGATGCACGAAGACCTGGTTGAGGTTGTTCTCCAGTCCGGGTCGGTAGCCATCAGCGAAGGCGACGACGACATTGTCCGGCATCTCGCTGAGAGACCAGATCTTCAGAAGTGCTCCGAGGGATTCCCTTGGCACCTTGGTGCTGAATGCGGGCACCCTGCAGTGCGGCTGAGCACTGCTCTCACCCGCCACCTTCGTGTCCATGTAGATGAGCAGATTCTGCCCGGCTTTCAGCTTCTTTGCAAAGCTGGCAACCGGCGTGGGTTTCAGTTCGACCTGCATGCCCTCACGGTTCTCCATCATGAGCACAGGTGTCCAGAACATATCCACACGCTTGGCCTGCAGACACATGTGTGCGCACAATATAGCATTCACCACACAGTTTAACTGCAAACCTAGCCACTGCCAGCTGCACGAAGTCCTTCAGCTCAGTAGTGGACTCCTCGTCCAGATCCTGGGTGGTCACGCCCTCGGGCAAGAGGCGGGATAGCGTCTCCAGCTCCGGCTCCGTGAAATTCATGGCTCCTGTCGCGGGCGAGGGCTCCATCTTCTCGTCCTGCTTCAGGGCATCTGCAGGGAGCTCCTTCGCACGGCAATCCTTGGCTTCCTGCAGCTGCGCAGCGAAGGGCTCCTGGGCGAGGATGTCCTTCGGAACTGTAGTCGTCTTGATGGCCGACTTGAGATGAGAATCCTGCCGGGTGCCATAGATGAGAGACTCCAGGAAGCCGAGCACCTTCCTGGTCGACTCATGCATCTCAGCCTGCCATGTCAGGTCCACCTTCGCACCGAAGCCCCCGCACGCAGCACGGTAGTCCGAGTGTGAAGCTATCTTCGCTTTGAGCAACTCCACATCGTCGTTCGGGAAGTGCTCTTGCCTGGGTCTCTTCTTTTGTTCTTTCCCTCGTGGCTTTCTATCTTTCTCTCTGTCTGTGTATCTGTCTGTCTGTCTGTCTCCCTATCCCTCTATCTGTGTCTCTCTCTCTCTCTCTCTGTCTCTGTCTGTCTGTCTGTCTGTCTGTCTGTCTGTCTGTCTGTCTCTCTCTGCCTCTCTTAGCGAATGGGGTGCCGACTCCCGTATAACCGGTTTGCCCCAGAGAGCAACCGAGGACCACACGTGAGCCAGCTCGTGAGCACCCACTGCAAAATTTCTCGCTTAGCGATCCACAGGACCAGATCCCCGCGGCCGCTCTGGTTCTTGCCCAGAAGGGTTCGTTCGTTAAAATCCTTTGGGCCCCAAGAGCCCCCAGAGATCAAGTCCTTCAACGTGCTGAGCACCCACACCGCATCCGCCGTGCTATGGCAGCGTTTGCAGATGGCGTCGAAGATGCTCAGCTCATTGAAGACGGAAGTCTTCCCATGCGTCTCCTCGTCGGATAATATCATCTTTTTGCAAACGTCCGAGCAGAAGAGCAGGTTGTAGGAACGGACGGCCACATCCACAAAATGGTCGCTGATGGGTTTCTCGGTGTTGCCCCGAAAATCCTGCAAGTGAGCTCGGTATTCCTGGGCCAACTTTTTGTTCCCCAGCGTCGGGTGCATTTGCTTGAAGTCGATCACGGCAAAAATACGTGCAGTGGTGCTCAACGACAGCTTCTCGTAGTCGTAGAAGAGCCTGCGTCTCAAGTTGACGCTTCGCCAGAAGCCCTCCTCCTCGTTTCCCACCGTCTCGAAGGTGAAACTGCACGTGAGTGCGACCTTCTTCCACTTCCGCAACGTGGCTTCGCATGCTCCGTTTGTGATCTGCTGCGCCAGGGCCAGGATGAACGCAATGTCAGGCTCCTCTGGCGACAGACGGACGAGGTTCCCAAACTCAGAGCGCAGCTGGGCTGCACTGTGGCTTGTCACTCCAACTGTGATCTGGTACGGGTGCTCGGTCGGAATGGTGTCTTCGGCGAACCACGTGGCCTGGAGATCTTCAATGTTCTTCTGAAGGATTGGGACGTTGGGGCGCGACAGGCGTCTCAACGCCAACCAGAACAAGTTGCCGGCACCTTTGTAGGAGCCGTTCCGCTTCATAGAAATCTCGAAGGCGTCGTCCACAAAGGCGGCCTTTCAAGCTGCAGTCGTGCTCAATCAAACTCCGCCCTAGCCAGTTACCAACATCAGCGAACGAAAAAAGACAATCTGAAATCTAACGACACAAGCAAGAATCTGCAGCTCTTCGCCGAGCTGCGGGGGTGCTGCCACCCCGAGCCCTGGCGCGGCCGGGGCGCCCCGGAAGGCAGAGAGCCAGGGGTATGTACATGACCCGGGCTGGCCCAGAGCTAGGGGTCTTCATACCCTTATCTCTCGGTCAGCCGGGGTCATATGCATACCCCTGGCTCTCTGCCTTCCGGGGCGCCCCGGCCGCGCCAGGGCTCGGGGTAGCAGCACCCCCTCAGCTCGGGCAGACCCCAGCTCAGAGACATCGGCAGAACTTTGAAGAAAGAAAGTTTGTGAGGAAAGCGAGGGCTGCACTCATTGCTTAGATTCTCAGCATCTGCGTGTGCGTTTCCATCCCCGTGCCCCGCCTCGCGACCGCCTTGAGTGATGCCCAGGGGGGTATCGGACATGATATTGCTGAAGATGCGATGGCTCATGATCTCTCCCAGGGCGGCATCGAGCTCCAGCAGGAGGTCTGCATTCTGGTTGGAAAGCGGACGCTCCAACACAGTGACGGGGCCATCTGTGGAAGCTGCTGACACGCGCTTCCCCATGACTATGCACACGCAGAAAAGTAGAGAGAAAGGTAGTCGTCTCGCTTGAGCGTACGTCTATGGAGCGCACACACCGGGTTGAACACAGCGGAGCACAGAAACAAACAACGACACCTCTCAGGCCTGGAGGGCTTAACTGTTAGGGCACTCAACCCGTGCAGATCGCTGCCTCGACCCGGCCTGTGGTGACGGCGGCCCTGGCCATGGTTTCTGGGCCCCTTAAGGGCTCCTTTGATGGCCTTTAAGGGAGTTCCCTTAATGGCCTTTAAAGCTTTCGGTGCTGGGAGATATAGTGGGTAGTGGGGGCTACATGGGGGGGGTTCAGGGGTTCGTACTCAGAGACATTGACGAAAGACTCAGTGTGTGCTGGGTCGGATGAGTTCAGGAGTTGTCTTTGGCCTCTCACGTACAGAACAAGTCTCTCGGCTCTGCAGTGATGGCTAAGAGCTGTGTCGGATTTTCAACGGTGATGACGGCGAATGATCCTTTCCCCCTAGGAGAAGAGTTGGAGCCGGTAGCTCGACGCTGACTCTGCTGCAAAGACCTGTTCTGCTCGCCCTTGGCACTGCGCTTGCACGCAGGTCGCTTCTTCACCGGCATGACTTCAGAGATACAGCATCGACCAAGCTAGCAGCTAGCTCCACGACATGATTGAGCCTTGACGCCTAGTCGTTGATGCCCACTGGTGCTCATGTTCGTTTGCACTACTTGGAAAAAAGCTTTCAGCATGCACCCTACAGCGTCTCGCCCTCATGGTAGCAGCCATAACTAACACCGTCGGCCCTCCAGCCTTGCGGCTGCGAGGAGCGATACCACGACCTGCGATGCGGAGGAAAGACATGGTCCTCACCTTATCCTCTTTACCTGCACTTGTTGGAAGCAGCTCTCAGCATGCACTCTAGAGAGGAAAGTGCCAGGAACTCAAGCGACATGGTCCTCACCTTACCCTTTCTACCTGCACTTGTTGTAAGCAGCTCACAGCATGCACTCTACAACATGTTACCCTGAAATGTTCAACAAGACCTCCGCCCGTCGACTCTCCAGCCTCCACGATGTGCGGAGCGACAATAGGACCTGCCAGACAGAGGGAGGTGCCATGAACCCTTCTGCACTTGCTACGGTCTGCAGTCGGTTGCCCCACCCTCGAACCGAGTGCATCCTTTCCCCTCTCGCTTCAGAATGCGTTCGTTCGCACTTAGCGACTGCACAACCCCTGCCACTTAGCGGCAAAACAAGGTCTCTCCCCAAGAGGCAACTTGGCCCAGTTCTTTCATCGGCCACACAAGCCGAACTGGGAGCATGCCACACGCGTCTTCGTGATGAACTCAAAGAAGGAGGCTTTCGTGAAGATGTTCTTCATGTCCATCTGCTGGACGGTCTGCGGGAGGGCGAGAGCCACCACCAGCTTTCCCTCGGCGCAAGACTGCCTCTCGGCTCTCTCGGCGAACTCCTCCCAGGTGTCCAGAATTCTCCACTGGCTGTGGCTTTTTCCCATCGCAGTCACAATGATGTCCGCAACCCCCGGGTGATGTTGCACGAACTCCTCGCTCAGCAAGACGAACCGTTTGGTTCGGACTGCAGCAGCATACGTGAAGGAGACGCCCGCAGTGCCTCCTGTCCGGAGGTAGTGCAAGTCCACGACGGAGCCGCCTTGCAAAGCGACGGTCCACTTGATCTTCTGTCCGGGCGCTGCGGCATCTGTCACCACGAAGACCTGGGCATCTTCCAGCCGTGCTTCGAAGTTCAAGCCTCGTGAGCATGGCAGGCGTGCCCACTCCTGCTTCTCTAGGTAGATGCCGCGAGAAAGCTCCGGGCCCTCGGGCCGCATGATCTTGGATATCTGTGCCGCTCTTCTTCGATGCCCAGCACTGAGGGCTTCCTCATGCGAGGCCCATGCGCGAGCGACCTCTTCGAGACCGGCGGGCACCTCTGACTCAAGGAGCGCATTGTCCAAGAAAGCGAGGACATCATTTCGGAAAGATTTGTCCTCCAGAAATCTCAGCTCCTTGAGCACCTCGAGGGCACAAGCACGGCATTCAGAGCACCCCTTGAGGCCTTAAGGTCGGCATGACAGCTTAAAGAGCACCTGCTCACCCCCGAAATGGACACCCTGCCTTGGGCTGTGCCACCACTGCCTCCTCTGTCACAGACTCCGCCAAGCGCAGCGCAGAGTCCAGGTCCACGATGTCTGTCTCCGCAGCCCTCTTGCGCCGTTGCCTCGCGAAGGCAATCTCGGTACCCTCCTGCAAAAAAAAGGAAGGCATTTTGCGCACGAAGTTGAAGTGAAGGCTACGTGCGACTTGAAACACCGCTGCCCACACGACGCCCCCCCCCCCGTAATCATTCTGCCACGACTGCTGATAGAACAATCTGTTGGACCCCACGCCGCTTCACCCACCCATCACACCCCTTCCGCAGCCGACTGCGAAGCTAAGTGAAGGATGACACACGCTACTACTCTGATCTCCGTGCTTGGATCGCAGTGCCGCTACCGTAGCCAGCAACAGCCAGGAAAATGCCTCTGAGTCTGGCTTTGCAACATGGGGGCTCGTAGGGGGTTGCGACCCAGTCCAATCCGCAGCCTAACAGATGAGAAGAGCACCTAGACTACTTCGAAACACCTCTTGCGGCGGGGACTCTCTGCAGTGTGTTCTTAGACTGCGGACTAGAATTACCCTGTTCCCGGTCCTGTCCTGCGGCTTCTTGCGTGGGACACCAGCATCTATTCGGTCCTTCGCCGAGGCACGCGGAGGGCCAGATGTAAGCTTCCAGATTTCCGATGCCAGCTCACAGACTGTTTCCTGACAGGTGTCCCTGTCACGAAAGTCGGAAAGCAGCTTGGCCTCCGTGAAAAGATGCGCATCTGTGAGATGGTTTCTGTCCGAGGGCACGTGATCCGCCATCTTGGCAAAAAACTGCTCCACGCCACTGGTCGTGGCACCGGTCCAGGCAGCATATCGAGCCAAAACCACACGAAGTACGCCCGATGGATAATTCTCGCGTACTTGTCTCTGCCTTGTAGCTGTGCGGTGCACGGCGCGAGACCATGCGTCGACATTCGACAGTTTGCCTTGCCGAGCTTCGTGCCTGGCTATGGGCTCGTGGAGCTGGTACTCGTCCACAAAGGCGGCGACATTGAAGCCCAGCACTTGCGACAATCTTTCCGCGCCCTCGATCAGCTGACGCGCGTCCTCGGCCGCCTGCGCACGGGTGGCAGGGCCAACGTTGAACATGCGGAAACATGCGAGCAGGCTGAAGGCCGGAAATTCGGCTTGGAGAGTCTTGATCGCTAGCCGAGTGTACAGCCGCAAATGGCCCAAAGCGCGCTCCTTGGCCGCCTCTGTCACCTTCTGCGGTCCTCCCAGAGACTTGGGACAGCCCTCGACGCAGAATCCCCGCGGCTTCTGCAGGATGTCGACGACATGCTGCGCATATCCGCCTGCTTGAAAGGCATGCCCTTCCAGGAAGAGATGCTGCAGCTTGCTCGCGAAGACCTGGAGTTGGTACTGCATCTCCGCGGAGTCGTGCTGCTCGGTGTCGTAGAACCTGACCAGCTGCAGCGCCTCGTCCGAACAGTCGGCTAGGAGCCCCAGGAGCAAAAGCTTCTCCTCATCAATCCATTCCAGAAAGCGCACGCCGTATTGGCAAGAATCATGGCTCTTGTTACTCGAGAGCGACAGAGCCAACATCAAGTGCGCCTCGCAGAACAGAATGAATCGTCCGAGAGGCTTCGCCGCCGAGTCGAAGCGATGTTTCCGCATCGCCAGATTCTTGATGCGGCGCCCGGACGCAGGGCTATCTGTCACCTCCTGACAGAACCTCTCGAAGGCCCGAGCCAGCGTGGGGCTAGCCTGCACAAGCCGCGCCATCGCGCCCTGACCACTGATTGCTGTCTGAAAGCATTCGTGGATGGCGTCAATGGCAGACCATGGCCGACTGAGGATCCTTCGCGCACTGTGCGTGCTGTCTCGCAGAACTACCTTGACAGACGGCCAAAGCTTTCGCAGCGTATTCAGCGACAGTTGAACATCGGATGCCCCGTCCGCATTGATGGCTTCAATGCGCTGTGTGATAAGCTGCAACTTCTCCACGTCGACTTCTCCATTGAAGGTACAGAAGCGACGCAGTGCACTTTGCACGCCGTTTGCAACGTCTTGATGTCCCAGGGACTCTATCTGCTCGAAGCCCAGTAGTCCCCGACGCACCATGACATCGTGATCGGCAGCCTGGAAGCGGATGCAAAGCCGCAGTTGCCGTGCATCCAGCTGGATCAATATGCTGGCAGCTTCCTGGAGTATGCTGGAATCGATCTGCAGCATGGCTTCGCACACACATCGCATCATCTTCAGGACTTTCTTGGCACCTCCGATTCCTGGGCAGCCATGTCTGAGTGCCTCTCCTGGCTTTCGCCGTGCAACTTTGTCGAAGTCAGAGGGTGGCGGAGCGTCCCCGTAGTCCTCGCCAGACTCCACAAGGCCTAGTTCTTCGAGACGTCGTCTGTGACCCTTGCTGCTAGCATGGCGGGCAATGTTGTCAGTGCGTCGCGCATTCTCGAAGACAGTCTGGCAGACGCTGCAGGTGGCTGTGCCATCGGGCAACAGCTTCAACCAGCTGGCTTCGGTGCCGGGTATGCAGAAGGGATCGTGGTCACTCATGGCGGCACTGCGACCTACCTAAGTCTGCTGTCTGCTATGTCGAATTCGCATACGCTGGCTGCTCCGTTTACAGCCATCAGTATCTAGACCTGACATTTGCCTCTTGCTGCGGACCAGTCTCCTACATCAAAGCTCGGCATACGATGGCTGCTGCATCTACGGCAGTCCGTAACTATACCTTGCAATTGCCTCTTGCTGCGGACCCAGGCCTGCGAATGTTTCCATGCGTTGCAGCGACGCAAACCAAATGAGGACAAGTCCTCCTTCAACGGCATCCACGGAATGCTTCCGTGATTGAATCCCATGTGTTTGCAATCCATCCCTCACTGCCCCGAAGACCTGGAAAGGCTCTAGGCACCCGAGATTGGGTTTGGACTTTGGGATGTTGGGGTTCTTACATGCTGGGAAACTGAGTTACACAACATGGCTATGTTGCATCCTCCGGAATCTCATGTGTTTGCAACATAACAAATCCCCTATCCTTCACTGCCCCCCTGAGACCTGGACATGCTCTAGGCACCCGAGCTTGGGTTTGGATTTCGGGACGTTGGGGTTCCTACATGCTGGGAAAGCAACTTACACAAGATGGCTATGTTACATCCTGCGGCACTTACCTGGACTTCTGTGCAAACCATTGCAGACCATCATCAGGCCGGCCTCCCAGCAGCGGCAGCGATAACGAAGTCAAGCCGGCGAGGACCTGAGGTCTTGCGTGACGTTGATGACATGGTCATGTTGAATGAGCACACCGGTAGGAGGATGTCATGTTGAACACCGGCAGTTACATGGACTGTTGCGCAAAGCTTTCCCACTGATGCAATTCCGACTAGCGCTGTGATATCTGCACCCATCATCGCACCCATCATGAGGCCGGCCTCCCAGCAGCAGCAGGGGCGATAAGAACGTCAAGGAGGCGAGGACCTCAGGTCTTGTATCGCGTAGAGGGCGTGGTCATGTCATGTTGAACCAAGCTTGCAGACACATTTTCTCTCAGCGCACTCGTAGGATGATGTGATATTCCAGACATGTAGATCTTTGCCTGGACAATGTATCTCTGTTGTTTCTTTACATGGGGATTAAGGCAAAATCTGCCGAGCTACCATGGGTCAGAGACTGCGACTCTAACGAGCTGTTGTTGGTCCTCGGGCAACTACAGTAGCTGCAACGGACACTGGCACCCGACTGGTTTGGGCTGGCTTCGTACTGCCCAGTGTGTATGCAAGTAGCTGAGGCCCGATCGTGCGCCAGCCAGCGTATCCTGCATCAGAAGCCAACGATTCGGTGACGCACTTAAGCTTGTCTATGCCTCTGACACGCTGTCTCGAAAACAAGGCTGCCCGTCTCGGAAACTTTCCGAGACAGCGTCTTAAGTAGTCGGCAGTGCGTGAAATCTGATCTATCAACACTACAAGTCACATATATCAGGGGGGAGGGATTAAGTGTCGGTGGGGAGCTGACAAAGTCGTTGCAGCTTCAAAGAGCACCGAAAACCCATGGCAGGGCTGGCCTCGCAGCAGCGGCAAAGACGGCATCCAAGGGCACGAACCTGAGTGGTCGTTCAGTCCAGAAAGAGAGTGAGAGTGAGCATGCCCGACACGTCTGCGCTTGCATTGTGGACAGGGCATGAGCATGATGAAATACGCATGTCCGTGCATGCGACTGCTCTCAGCAAACACATGCACTGATGTCATTCCAGGTTCGTATTTCTCATAAAAGTTTAGGACCTCGCTTATTGACTTTCAGCTCCGCATTCAGACCCCAAGTTTCTAGAAGTGTCGGACAGCTTTTCAGGGATTTGAGCGTTTCTTGAACGCTGCGGACTTGCCAGACAATGGCGTGGCACTCCTCCGGATGGGACTCTTCGTGGAGTGGCTGGGATTGGAGCAGCTACGGGCAAGGTGCCACGTGGGGTGGCACTGGTGGCCACAGTGGAAGTGCGGCAACCGCACCGGTTGCCACGGCAGCAGTTGCCCCGGCGCCAGCTGCATCTGGCAAGGGCAGTGGTAAAGGCAAGAAAGGTGCTGCTACGAGTGGTGGCAAAGGTGGCCACAGTGGTGCGGCAACCGCGCCGGTTGCCGCAGCGGCTGGGCCAGCAAGCTCAGCAAGCTCCGGCCTGGCCCCAAACTGGGAGCAAGTCACCGATGCTGGCACTGGCATGCCCTACTACTGGAACCCCGTCACAGGGGAGACGAGCTGGCAGGCCCCGCAAGAGGCAGCGAGGGGGAGGAGTTGGAAGGATCGCAAGCGCGGGCTGAAGGGCGAGGCCAAGAAGGCGGAGAATCGCAGGAAGTCAGGCCTAGCCTCGAAGATCATCAGGGACAAGGTGACGAGGAAGTTCATCGACAGGCTGGCTCAGAAAGACACTGTGATCGGCAATTTGCAGGCCGGGTCCAAAGCACAGGTCCGCACAGAATCCTTTGCAAATATTGCCCTAGCAGGCGCTACAGGCCACCTCAGTGGTGATGGGACAAGTTCGCGAACAAGAGCGAGACAAAGCCCAGGCGAAAAGGGGCGGGAAGGGGGGGGGAGGGCGGCAGGGTGTTCAAGTGTGCTGGCAACTCGAATCAAATCTGTCAGGGGGAGCGTGATGAGCTGGAGCAGAAGCTTCGCAAGATGGAGAGCGCCCTGGTCAAGAGCCAGATGGAGCTGGAGGCTGGGTCGGTACGGTTCAAGTTATCTGTGTCCTTCCGTGCTTGTTTGAAGTCTGTGATGCCAGCCTGTGCAGATGAGCCAGAAGATCGGTGCCGTGCACGCGACCCGCATCGAGGACCTGGAGAAGGACAAAGCCCTTCTCCAGGACACCTTGAAGGACAGTCCATTGCTGCAGTCAGCACACCAGCTCGGGTTTGGAACTCCACTGTTTCCTCACGACCCCTGCCCATCAGGAGCAGTCCCGGTCGCAGACGACCCAGGCAGCCGAGGTGGAGGAGCTCAAGAAGGACCTCGAGCGACATCGGGGTCGGCGCCTGGAGCAGCAGGGCTTGGCCGAGAAGATCCTCGCGGAGCGACAGAGTCTGCAGGACCCTGCTGCTGCACCGTGGAATCTGCTTGCACCAGCTCCTGCACTCTGTTAGCGAAAGGACCAGCTCGCTGCGGAGAAAGCAAGCACAGCGCTGGCGAAGGCACCAACATCCTACACTGCACATCAGGGGGCTTGCTCTGCAAAGGACCCACAGTGACGGTTTAGCTGCAAGGTTTAGCTATGCCCGCGGTCATGACAGGCGGATCTCCTCAGCTACAAGAAGCAGCACGAGGCCGAGCGAAAGATTTGGAAGAAGGTCGAGGCGCATGAGTTGGATGAAATCCAAACATGATAGCAGATGTACACTCAATCTTCATGCCCCAGGAGAGAAGCAAGGACGCGATGTTGCAAATCGATCTCATGACCAACGACTACGAGAAGCAGAAGGCCGGCCAGCAGGAGGGTGATGTGTGGAGTTACATTAAGTGTGCTCACTCAACTAACCCTCTCCAATCAATGTCAGGCTTTGAACCGGGGCCTGGACAGCCAGCTGAAGGATGCCCGCGATGAGCTGGCCAGCCTCAAGAAGGCCGGCAGCTGTCTGGGGTTTTTAGGGGTTGCTGGGGCATGCACTTTGAACTGACGATGGCTCAGGAACTCGGCACTGCCCCTACCGAGCCGGCGATGAGTGCCGCGGAGGATATCCAATACAAATCTCTCTCTCTCTCTCTCTCTCTCTCTCTCTCTCTCTCTCTCAAGCTTTCTCTTATGTTATGAGTAGTCTCTGCAGGACGATGACTCACCCTCACCTCCGATGGTCCCGACGGAGCTGGCCTCGCCAAGGTCGGAGTCGCCGCCTGGCATGATCGACTGAGCCGTGTTTTTTTTTCTGAGTCCAATATTCGGCTGCCTGTTGCCAAGGGAGGGCTGATGCTTCACAAGATCCGTGGCTCGGGTATGATGTGAGAGAGAAAAAGAATGCAGGTGCCAATTGAAGTCGCAGCAGCAGCATGTCGATTGCGTGGACATGAAGCATGCGCAGGATGCAGCAATTGTAAACATCAGACACTTGCCATCACTCGAGGTGCGAGCCTGGGCAACCCAAGGCGCGGACGGAGCCTGCATCGGGGACGAAGGAGGAGGACCAGGAAGCATCAAAAGTAGTAGTACTAGTGCTAGTAGTAGTAGGAGTAGTAGTAGTAGTAGTAGTAGTAGTAGCAGCAGTAGTAGTCGTAGTAGTAGTAGTAGTAGTAGTAGTCGTAGTAGTAGTAGTAGTAGTCGTAGTCGTAGTCGTAGTCGTAGTCGTAGGCGTAGGCGTAGTAGTAGTAGTAGTAGTAGTAGTAGTAGTAGTAGTAGTAGTAGTAGTAGTAGTAGTAGTAGTAGTAGTAGTAGTAGTAGTAGTAGTAGTAGTAGTAGTAGTAGTAGTAGTAGTAGTAGTAGTAGTAGTAGTAGTAGTAGTAGTAGTAGTAGTAGTAGTAGTAGTAGTAGTAGTAGTAGTAGTAGTAGTAGTAGTAGAGGTGGCTAAGCCTCGCCAACCGTGGAGATCAGAGGTACTAGGCTGAATCTGCGATCAAACTTGGAGTATAAGTGAACACGAGTTTCCACCCTCCCTACTACAACAAATATGTCCGTGTATGCAGATTAACTACGAAAAAAACACGTGTCACTGGGGCGTTTAATGTGGACTCATGTTGCGGGTGTATAAGTGAACACTACCTCGCTCCTATGGCACCGGTTAGACTGACTGTCACTCACTATTTCAATTTTTTATGGTCCTTGCTATGACTTCTATTTCTGTTGAAATGGTCCTTAAAATTGTCTAGGTGCACATGTGAAAATGCCCCCGACCTCGTCTGTCTCCCCAGCGAAATTGACTGTCGTCGTCCTTGTCATCGTCATGGTCGTCGTCAGGGTCGTCGTCTCATTCGTCGTCGCCCTCAGAGCTGCTCTCTGCAGCGTCGCCGCGACCCGGCACCGTCCCGGTGCACTCCTGGGTCGGCCTTGGCGCCTCCCGGCGCACTCATCTCAGGTCTTTTGGACCCGGCACCCTCCCGGTGCACTGCGGGTCCACCCACGCACCATCCCGGTGCGCTTTCAGGATTTCTCGACCCGGCACCATCCCGGTGCACTGTGGGTCGGCCTCGGCGCCCTCCCGGCGCACTCTGAGGTCTTTGACACCCGGCACCATCCCGGTGCACTGAGGGTGTGCCCCAGCACCATCCCGGTGCATTTGCGGGGTCTTTAGCCTGCAGCCTTCCCGGCGCAGACTTGTCGTGTTCTGGCGCCATCCCGGCGCACGGGAGGTCCCGCACGAAGGCGTCGATTAGAACCTGACATCCTGCCTGAACGAGACGTGGGCGAGGGGGGGGGGGGGGTGGGGGGGAGGAAGGAGGCTGGGGAGGGGGTGTCTGGGACTATCAGCTGTAATCTGGCTAGGACTCTTCTTCCCTTATTTAGATGCTTTAAACCCATACTACACCCGATCAACACCTAGGGTGGGGGTTGTTTGGGACGTTTACCTCTAACCTGACTAGTACTCTTCTTCCCTTGCTTAGATGCTTTAAACCCATTCTAGACCCGATCAACACCTACTGGTTCCTTGCTTCCCGCTTAAAACCATATAGGATCTATATTTCTATAAACACAAGACTGAAAACCCGATCCTCTCTTTAACACTTGTCATAAAACGCAATAACCATACAAACAACAACCCACTAACCACTAAGGCCCTTCAGAGGCTTCACTCTGAGGCGACGACGGTGGGGAGATCTATGTCTGGTCTGATCTTGCCCCAGCGACGTGTATATACATATACATATACATATACATATACATATACATATACATATACATATACATATACATATACATATACATATACATATACATATATATATATATATACATACTTACATACGTATTTACACAGACATATATGCACAGACACACATGCGTGCATGCACATGTACGTACACAGACCCACGTACTCTTCTACGGAGCAAACCCTCTCAAAAAGGTAAAGTTTTCATGAATCACGTAGCACATATCAGAAACCTTCGCCCGCCAGTTGCGAGAGGCATCTCAGGAGAAATGTTTTGATCGAGTTTTTGGCCACAAATTCAATCTGTACCGCCGTACTCAGATTTCATGTAGAGTCTTGTAGAGAACATGCTTGCAATCCCGGGCAAAACAAACATGCTAAAGATACAGTTGCTACCGACGATTTTGGCCCGCAATACGTGCAAAACAAAGATCCTCCAAATCAAAGTTCTTACCTACGACCTTTGCCCGCAAGCCCTGCCGTGATTTTCACAAAAAAAATCAAAGGTGTTACCAACGACCTCTGCCCGCAAGCCCTGCTGTGATTTTCAAAAGAAATCAAATCAAAGGTGTTACCAACGACCTGTGCCCGCAAGCCTTGCTTGGAATCTCCAGTTTGTGGTTCTATGTTTTCTGTGCCTGCACCATGTTCTGTTTGTGGGTTTTGCAGGGTGTTACTGAGACTTTTGGCAGACTATTTTTTTGGCTCTCAACACGCCGTCTGTGGACCCACAGCCCACCCGGACCCTCATACCCTCATGCTTGAGCAGCAGCCAGTGGTGTAACCTATCCACCATGGGGGAAGCGGAGACTCATCACCTATGTGCACCTGCGCTCTGATCGAATATGCAAATTATTCTACAATCCTCGGTGTACACTGGCTAGCCTCACAGTCTACGAATACTTTCTGCTTGTGAGTGGCGCAATATGCTTTGCATTTTGAGTATGGCATGGCGGGGCTAAGCGGCTAAGCGTTGCTGCAGTACGGTTGATGATATTAATCCTGGCAAATCCTGCATTACCTTATAATAATGGCACTAGACTATGGGAATTATGGTATATATTCCCCATTATGGGTAATGCAGGATTTACATCATCAGCCGTAGTTCTAGGTATTCTAGGTCTAGGTGCTAAGGCCCTACGTTCGAGCGAGGCACCACGTCGCCACAGGCGCCAGTCATGGCCTGGCACAAGTGCCCGAACAAGTACTGATGGTTAAGCCTGAGTTTGATAGGTATGCTTTGTCGGTCAATGATGGTGGCTGCGGCTTTAGGACCTGCCCTTTACACCCCACATATTTATGTATGTATGCATGTATGCATGTATGTATGCATGCATGCGTGCATGAATGTCTGTATGCATGTGTGTACGTGTGCATGTGTGTGTGTGTGTATGTGTGTATGTGTGTATTTGCATGTGTATGTGCATCTATATACAGTTGATCATCGCCACAAACCCAATATCTTCAAGCCTAGCATGATACAGCAGCCTGAGGAAGGCAAACGCATGGGGTTTGGGTCTGTAAGGAATGGAAAGGAGAAGTTCACTCACACTATATCCCAAACTCTCCTAAACCATGTTGCAAATTTTTCGGAGCCCGATCGTAACACTGACGTGCGCAAAAAGTTGTCTACACACTTGTGTATGTCTGTGTATATACACAATTTATGTATGCACACGCAGATACCAATACGATACAGCAATTTACTTAATTTTCTGCAAATTCCTCAACACTCAGGAGTTCGCCCTGGCATTGTAAAATGGAACGCCGCCACAGTTTCGAGTTTACGGGTTCAGGGGGTCTGGGAATGGAGTGCGTGCGCTCACATGCTGGGAACGACCAGATTAACCATGAATAACAATCATTTTTGAAGCCTTCCACAAAGTAAACGACACACCAGCAACTGAACACTAGAACCGTAACACCTAAAACACAACGATGAACTGCGACGATCATCCTAAAGACGGAGTTTAGGATGTATGATAACGTTCTGCAGCAGCTGAACACTTTAAATACTTTAAACTAGAACCTCGAACCTCCAAAAACAGCGCCTGCGAAATCCCAAACCTCTGGGCGAAGAAGTGTGCTCATTTGGTCGTTGTTTGCAAGGTAGAGAACACAACACGGTGAATGCATCATGGTTGCAGAGTTCCTCTCGTCGTGGTAGTTACGAGACGGGTGTGTGACGCTAGTGGTAGGGTCCTGGATCTATACACAGTGATTCCAAGACCCCACACCGTCCAAACCTACAACCGGCAACCCTGAAACCTAGACCATAATCGGGGTCAAGTACCAGCCACAAAATCAAAACAGCACAAACCAAACTGCGCCTATAGAAGTGTAAGCTTTATATGATAACAACCTGACAACTTGAACCTAAACCCTATATATCCGAGTTGGCCATAGATTCTACGAATGATCATCATACTACATAACTTATGTTTATTCTTATTGCTAGTCTTCATAGAATGATCCCCTCATACACGCTCGCAACCATTCAGAGTGACCGCCATGCACACACACACACAAACAAACCCGAATATGCAGCCTACTCAACCACCGGGGCCCACAAAGCCTAAATCACTTGCAAAACACCAGACCCTCAATCCCAATCCCCAAGCCATCAACCAGATTCCGAAAACAGGGGACCCTAACAAGTACCTAAATCGTAGGATCCTTGTTATAAGGACCCCAAAACGAGGTACCCCCTAATTTTCGGAAACTCCCATAACGAACTCATGGAGTTGCATCGGCCTCCAGAGTGCCAGCAGCGACTCGCCGCTTAAGCTCCAGCGCTGCATTGGCAGAGGCCTCCCTGCCAGGGACATGTCAGTAAAAACACACAAAAAGAGTTAAGTCATGTTCATAATGGGGTATAGTACGATGAAGAGCCCGCAGGAGTAGTGGTGGCAGTAGTAGTGGTAGTAGTAGTTGTTGTTGCAGCAGTAGCAGTTTCAGCAGCAGCAGGAGCAGGAGCAGGAGCAGGGCAGGAGTAGAAGCAGGAGTAGCAGTAGGAGTAGGAGTAGGAGTCGTAGTAGTAGCAGCAGCAGCAG